CCCCCCCCCCCGGGCCAAACTCAAGAGTGAAAAACAACCCCGGCCGCCCTGATATCAATGCCATTGTCATGTATCACGTAACTACGCCTTATGCATTTCTTTTTGTACGCATTGCAATTCTTCGTGCATATATATATATATATACATACATATGCCTATATCCGCAAGAAAAACATATACATAAAATCCCCCCCCCCCAAAACACACACACACATCCGAGGCAAGCTGAGTCTCCTTTTGCTTTTTTTTTTTTTCCAGGTCTCCAATGTTTCCCTTATGTTACTATGTCTGTTATGCGCATCATATGCAAAAAGGGGGTTGGTTGTCAGCTGTCGAGATAAAACCGGGTGTGGGGGGGGTGGTTGGCGTCAGAGGGAGGTGTGAGGGATGGCGCTGTGCTGCCTGGGTGGACTATGTATGTATGTATGTATGTAGTGTCCGTATATGGAGGCGGAGAGCTCTCTCGGGTGAAAAGATGTTGTGTTGTGTTAGCCGGCTGGGTAAGGCATGCTTTTATTATTTATTAAATGTTAATATATTAGACTATGTATATAGGCATGTGTATGTGATGTGTGGGTGTATATATATGTGTGGTGTGGGAGGGTGGTGGTGTATGCAGGTAATTTGCAAAAACTGATATAGGTATAGGTATAGGTATGGGTACAATTTCTGTGTTAAAAACTTCTTGGATGTGTCGTTTCGTTTGGATTCGGATATCTTGTCTGGCAAAAAGCAGAAGGAAAAAAGAAACAAAAGAGAAAAGTAGGAAGGAAGCAATTGGGGATAAAAAGGGAGATAGATAGAAATTGAATAGTGGGAAAAGAGATAACACAAAATAAATAAAACGGAAAAATAAATATATATATAGTATTTTGCTTTCTCTTTAGTTTGGTTGTCATAGCGCGGCGCGGGTAGTTTAAAACCCCGTTTCTAAGTAAACGAGGTGTTAAAAAAACTTGTTTGTTAGAAAACTAAATGAGCATGGGATTATATTTTGGAAAGATATAAAAAAAAATAAGAGGAAGGAAATGCTGTGGGGATCTGCGGGGCGGGCCGGTGGTGTGTGTGTGAGTGTGTGTGGTGCGGGGGGGTATAAAAAAGGATATTAAGTATAGCTAGCCTTGGGAAAGAAGCGAGACAAAAAAAAAATCGAGAGAAACGGGTGAAGAAGCCAGGCAAAAAAACAAAAATTATGGAGAAAGAGAAAACGCTGAGATGTAGGGGAGAGGGAGGACAGCAAGAGAAAAAACGACGCAAATGCGAAGAAGACACCAACATGCATGCAACCTTAGGGGACTGGCAAATCCGTCCAATTCTTGAAACACGTTCCGTCCACTGGGCGACGGAAGTCTACTTCTTCTTTTTTTCTTTTTTTCTTTTTTTCTTTTTCTTCCCACCCCTCCTTTCAACATCACATCCTATTCCTGATCAACGTTACCCGTGGGCCCTGAGATTCTATCAACAACCATTCTCCCGTCCTCTAGGAATCTGATTTTTGAGCGTTGCGTTTCCAAGGTCTCTTAGGTCTCTTAGTGAAGTGGTGATTTCGTTGCTCAGTCAGTCGTTGCAGAGCGCGAGAGAGGGAGACGATGGATGGGAAATCGTTGTTGTGCGTCAGTCGTTTCGTAGACTGCGTTTCCAAATATATCCAAAATATCCAACAACTCCAATCTTCAATTGTATGGTCGGTGTCCCAGGTATTATAGGTATGATCCCAAGAGAGTTAGTTATCTGGCGACAACATTCACATGAGTAGCACCATGGGTTCGAAAGCAGGGGGCGCTCAATCAACGGGGGGGGGCGTATGGGCGTCGAGTTTTCTCCAACGATTTCCGGGTAGTTCGAGAAGGGAAAAACAATTTATCGAGGGAGACATTAGATATTATTCATGTCCAAAAATTCTTGAATAGTCCGCCCATTCATCGTATTATATTTTATGTAGGTCATGACTCATTTGAAGGGAAAGATTGACAATTTTAATTTGTTGTCCGTCTGTTCACTTCTGCAAATTCCCTTAGGCAATAAACCTCCTGTAAATCCGTTTTCGCTTTGCCAATTGACAGCCGCGATACATAATAGCTTATGTCAGTTAGATAAACAATTCATATATGTCAAACTTTCTCACGCTCTCGTCCTCCGCCGGTGCCAGAAGCGGGCGGTATCGGAGTCCAACGGAATTTGTGCTTGCTCCATGGCCGTGAAAAGGCGTAATAACGATCCTGGGGGCTGAACAGAGGCAAATTCAGGCGGTCTTGCACCCACTGTGGTATCTCCCTGGTTGTTGTTAATAGCCTCCAAATCTGGGACGGTAACTCCGAGGGTTTCGTTCAGCGTATCGAGTTGTACTTCTTTTGCGAATTCAACCAGGCTCGCGAGTAATCTGACCCAGTGGATTAATATCTCAGGATCTACCACCAAGTTGCTTGGAAGGCGGAATTGGACGGTTTTTCGTTTCGAATGTGTTGGCTGTGGAGGAGCGGGATGTCCGTTGGGCTGGTTCGTGGTTGGGGTTGGTTCGTCCGTGGGGTCTAGAAGGGAGGAGAAGTCGTATTTATAGTAGGAGTGGGTATTGGGCCGGCAAAATTCGGTAAGACTTGGGTTCATGGCACGGACAACTGATCGCAAATCGGGGCATGTGTTTAGGAGATGAGAAGCTAACATATCAGGAGGGCATGAATGGGGGAGATTCGGCGGCCGAAAGTGTGGGCTTTGAAGCGGCGTTAACCATCGTCTCTAATATAAGTATAAGTCCGCGTTAATTATATGTATAAAGGTAATAACGAATGGCCATCGATGAGGAAACGGGAACATGGGAGGAACTTACGGGATTGTTTTGATGAGCAGGGAAGGTATGAAGGCGGAGCATTCTGTCTATCTCTGGTTCATATACCAGCAAGATCATGGCAAGGTTGCGGACAATGTGAAAGGGGAAACCTGCGCCGGGATTTGTGCCGTTTCCTATGCGTACGTTGAGACTTGTGCTGGGGTTGTACTCAGTGTACATGATTCCGTAGCGCACGATGGGGTTATAGTGCTCTGATCGTTGTGAGAATACCCGCTGGAAATCAGCCTCCCACCCAGGTCCGTGGATAAAATAGGGCGGGGAGATGATTTTAATCGATTGAGTTACGTCTGTATATACGAGTTAGCAAGCACTACCACATAACCTGACCCAAGACTAGTTGCTCCTCCTCCTCCTCCTCCTCCTCCTCTAATACCACCACCACCCCACCCACCGCGGACGTAGCAAGGTAGATAGATAGAGAGGGGATGAAAGGAACATTGGTGCTCACATTCATCGAACCATTCCGGGTTATTGGGGTATATGGTAGGATCCGTTGTTAGAGTCCAGCATTGATTGTCGACGCCCTGATCTGGGTCATCGTCTATATTGGGGATGACTCTGACGGGGGACCATTGTCCTCTTGGGCCTTGAGGCTGAACTCGATCGAGACGAGCTGCCAAAACGTGTGCGAGAGTGTCGCCGGGGTATGTGCTAAAAGCGGTGGCCTTCATCGCCGTAAACAGATTGGCCTCCACCCGGACGGATAGAGCCATATTGTCCGGAGCTCTTCGTGGCATGATTCTGGACGGTTTAAGGTAAGGGGGATTAAGGTGAAAATTCGGAGAACAGTGTCAAGGTTCGACAAATAGTCATTATAAAGAGTGGTGATGCGTGTTGGAAGGGTATATTTTTTTTGGTTGAGAGAGAGAGAGAGGGCTGGTCTGTGTTCCCAAGTGAAAATGATGACAACCAACCCATAGAAAGAAAAGCAAAGTTGTTGAGGATTTATCGAAGCATTGACGTGTTTATCGTAAGGCAAACGAATGTTTATTATTATTATTATTATTATTTTCTTTTTTTCTCCGGGGGCGGGCGCGAGAACGGAATATGCATGCAACTGGTTTTTTTTTTTTTTTTTTTTTTTTTTTTTTTTTTTTTTTTTTTTTTAAGGTCGGGAGGAGAAAAGAGTCCGAATTGTGCATCGCGAGGCAGCGAGGGTTTCTTTCGTAAGGCAACCAACTAACTGTAATTATTTTTTTAACTGTTTATCTCGGGCAGCGGGCTGATTCGAAACCCAAGGAGCCTAGATTGTGTCTGTTTTCTGACTGTTATTCAATTTATCCAACGTTTTCTACGGAAGTAAAAAAGTGCGAACACACACACCAACAAGTCTGGATGTTCCCCCGCAATGCCGTTTGCAGAGAGAGATACAACAAGACTGGTTGAAATGGTTGTTTCCCCCCCTTTTTTTGCCTTGAGAACGGAAAGAAAGAGGGAATGGATAAGAAGGAGAAGACGAAGAGAGGGGAATGAGTGAAATAATGGAGGAAGAAGGCCTAGGAATATAAATCGAAGGGAGGGAAAAAATAAGTAAAGAAAAAAAGAAAGAAAGAAAGAAAAAGAAAAAGAAAAAAGAAAAAAGAAAAAAGAAAAAGAAATGCCAGCAAAAAGAAAGATGATCGCAAAGTCAGCACAAGATTCGACGATGAAGCCGCAGCGCACGCACTGACTGTGGAATACAAGGCACAAGGCGCGGGATCTCGCAGGGTCTAGCCCTTTCATCACGTTTGGTAGCTAAAAATGCAGCCTGATGCAGAAAACCCAAGCACCAGGTTCGTCGTCTTTCTTGGGTTTTGGGTTTTGGGTTTGGTCTTTTGGATTGATGGAGGTCAGGCTAGACAATTACTGTAACTGAGGGATGTTGTCGTCGTATGTAGCATGGAATAAATAATAAATAATGGAGAAACACCAAAAGGCCAAAAAGACCAAAAAGACCAAAAAGCGCCCCCCAAAACCAGACTCTCACGGTGTCAAAAAGCTGTCAACACGGCCGGCGGAAGCGTGGATATTTATTGGGTGGAAATTTTGTTGTTTTGTCGATCGCGAGACTCTTTGGATGAATGGAATTTACATTTATTTTATATTATTTTTTTGTTTTCTCTCTCTCTCTCTCTTTTATTTATTTATTTTAACTTTTCCTCGCTATTTTTCACTTCTTTTTTCCCCTTCTTTTCCTGTCTGCCCTCCGTGAGATAGAGATAGGAGACAGAGACAGGAGACAGAGAAGAAGAAGACTCCAAACTGCAACACAGCGCAGGGCTAATTGTGTGAGGAGACACAGCACTAGTATTAATAATAAATAACTGACTTCTGGGCGAGGAAGGTTTTCTTGACTTCAAATCTGTCAGGTGATAAAAATAATAAAACAAGAAGAAGGAGAAAGAAGAGGGGAGAAATCGACAGCAACGAGACAACACAGGGAAAATAATAATACTGCTGCTTACTCTATACTTATTATTATTATTATTATTATTATTATTACAAGCATCAAATGCTCGCTTACGCTCGCTTTTCTGCTTGCGCAGCCCCCTCTACCACTTCCATCCTCCTCTACCGCCCCGCAATCCCCCTCAATCACCATCATCATCTCTATCACCTCACAACCTTCTTTATCACTTTCATTCTCTATCTCTACTCACTGTTATCACTCTTTTCACCTCTTTCACTCTCTACCCTCTCATCATCATCATTATCATCATCTCTACTTCTTCTACTACTCTCTTTCACTCTGTATCATCTCTATCACTATTATCAGATTAATCAGAGCTGTACAGATTACAGAGTCAGCTATTCAATCTTATTCATGAATTCAAAGAGATGTATATGACATCATATAAGATTTTATTACAGAGTATTTAGCAGTATATACTATAAATACAGAGATCAAAATATGATAGAGATAGTAAGAGAGAAGTAGAGATAGTGAAAGTAATAGAAGAGACTGTAGAGTAGTAGAGATAATAATGATAATAGAGAGGCTAGAGAGTGAAAAAGATGACAGAGAGAGATGATAGAGATGATAGAAGTGAGAGAGATAATAGAGATGATAAGAGAGGAGTAGAATGATAAGATGAGAATAGAGATAGAGAGTGAAAGTGATAGAGGGTGCTGTGAGGCAGTAGAGGCAGTGATGGTGATAGAGAGAGTAGAGGTGGTAGAGGTGGTAGAGGTGGTAAGAGTGAGTGATAAGATGGGGATAGGGGTATGAAGTGGAAGTGATAGGGGGTGTTACGGGGCGTTAGAGGCGGTGGTGATGGTAGGGGGTAGATAGAGTGGTGCAATTGGCAGGCGCCACTACATATCCATGGATTTTTGATGAGGTGCATGTGATGTCACGTGAGGTCACGTTACAGGGCATTTTACTCGGAAAAGTTGGTTTTTCTATAATATATAGAGAGATTATTACCTAGAGGAGAGGAGAAGAGAGGATTGTCGAGCCGCACCGCGCCGCGCCGCACGAAACGCCCGGAAAAGCGGGGAGTGAGAGGAACGGTCTAGAATCCAGACCTGCGTTGATGGCTTCAAGGGAGAGTCAAGGGTTTTGATTTTCGGCTGTGAGTCTGCGATGATTCGACTGGCCAGCGCAGAGCAACAAGCAAAGCCGCCTCCTGCATATCATTCTGATTGCATGGCTCTTGGACTCTTGGTCTCTTGGTCTCTTGGACTCTTGGACTCTTGGAGCAGCCCAGTCCGAGGCTAATAATAAGTCTGTCCAAGCCTAGTCCAGTAATCAGTCCCATGATGATAATAATAGTAAGGCACCGAACTACTGACTGACTGCCACCAGCTGTTGTCTCTGCTTTCTCTGTGTGTCAGGGACGGATCGACTGACTGCTTGGACTAGCCAACCGACTATTTATTATTGGGGGGATTTCGGGTGTTGCTGCATAATTATTAAATAATATTTGGGGGGTCCTTCAAACCCCTTCAAACCCTGCCCTGTCCTTGGCCGCGGTGGATTCCTGCAGCTGCGAAACAGACCAAGACGAGGTCGTGGCCTGTGGTGTGTGGTTGTTTTTCTCTTTCTCTCTCTTTCTTTTCCTTTCTTTTTCTTTCCCTTTCTTTTTCTTTTCTTTTTTTTGCTCTCGTTATGTGTTGGATGAAACCCGGGCCAATCTTTGCTTTTGTCCTGCCCAGACTGCGTTTTGGCCTCGTCTGATAACTCTTCATATAAGTACGGAGTACTGTACATGGTTAAAGATGATAGAGACACACCGAATAAGAATAAGAATAATAATAATAATAATTTGTAGAAAGTCACGCCACAAAAACCGAAGCTACCTAGCATTTTCCTAGACAGCTGACCTTTCGAGACACTTCACTTGCACAAGGCCCACCCCTCGCCCCTTCCACCCAACCCATATTAATAATTGCGGGCTCTGTCTCTGTCTCTGGTAACTAGTCTGGCAGATGGCATAAGTTACTATACTATAACTTTACTACGACAGACACGGTTGACATCGATTTGGCGCTGACCTGACTGACTTTCCCCTCATCGATTATTGTTGGCCCTTACGGCTATCCTACAATTATCACCAACAACACCACAACCACCACCGGCACAGCTAAACACAACGCCTGAGGAGTTTATATATATATATATATAATGTCATATAAGTCATACAAGAATTATTGACGGTCTCTGATTCCGGAACGATACTTCGAATTGTCAAGGAGCCAGCCAGCCTCATGATTTTGGGACTGGAATCCCGCCACGTGCTGGCCTCTGCTGAAACTCTATCCAAGCCCCTCCAGTTCTGCACGCTCCCGTGCGCACTGTCGAAATATACCCCGTATTTGTACATATATATATATAAAATATATTAAAATATATATATATATATGTATATGTATAATAAAATAGAGAACCAATCTCCAGCCCGTTCGTCCCCTTCCGGCTATTTAACATTACTTTATTTATCATGACAGACCAGTTTGCGTTTTCCTACCCCTTCGCTACTGGAGGGCTATGAGAACTGAACCTCCCCCGCCTGTTTGATCCTGATTGATTATTATTCTTTTTTTTCTTTCCCCTCTGATTTCAGGCTAGGGAGCAATAATAATGAAGATGGCAAATCGTTCAGGGAACCCCGCAGCATGGGATCCTAAGCAAGGCCATATCACGAATTCCCATTCCCCGCAACCCGCTAGAGATGGGACGTCGTGGTTGGCTTTTGATATTCATATCTATCACTATCAGGTTGGTCTGCTGCTGCTGCAATAACTATGAACACAGGACAACAGGTATGTATGGAAGCGGGTTACACTCGCTACACATGAAGGGGGCAAAAACGATGGCTTTGTCTTTGTCTTTTTTTTTTTTTTGCTTGGTGTAGAGATCGTGGAGGGGAGGGATGGGGGATGGGATTTGTGACACTACATCACATACATGTGTAAATGACCATGGGGGTCTGTTCTATGATTACACACCCGCGTTTAACCCCTCTGGTGATGCTGGAGCTCTCAGCAGGGGAGGGGAGGGGAGAGGGGGAAGGGGTTCAGTGATAGACATTTTGACTGCGTGTCAAAAATTTTATAGTGTACAGATCTTCAGCTGCTCTATCAGTGCTGCAATATTGATCCCTTACACACTTTCTTCTATACACATGACAGGGTATATATATGTGCATACAGCACGTACATATTCAATCCCATCCTAATGTGATATAATAGTCGTCCTCCCCTCCCATCCCCCCCCCCCCCCCCGCCCCTCGGCCGCGCAGTCAGTCTGATACAATCAGAGTGTCTTTCCCTAGCTCATGGCGTCACATGGACAGGCAATATATATATATGTATGTATGTACAGTGCATAGTAGCCTACTCCGATCAATATCACAACAGCATGGTCCTCGCGTATTTTCTATCTATGTAGCTGGGCTTTTTTTTTTTTTTTTTTTTTTTTTTTTTTCCCTTTTTCGACAAGGCAATGCATATTACATTTGTGGTAGTTCATGGGGGGTATGCACACAGGGTAGATTAGGTATGCGTGTGGTGGCTATGGGACGAGATAGTTATGTCGGGCGCTTTGCGCAGGTGGGTGGATTTTCCTTCTTTCTATATAAGTTTGGCAATTATTGCAGTATCTAGGTTGCATGTGATGTGTACTCCGTATTGAATGAAGCCTTTGAGATAGATAGGTAGTTAGCCCGGTCTGCGTTTACAGATCTCAATCGCTACCATCCATATCGTTATCTAGATCTGATCTAGTATTTAACAGCCGCCCCCGCCCATGGCCATACGGCGGACGGAGTTCAATCAGCTGGGTTAAAAGTTTAGTCATAGGTAAAATATGCATTGTAAGTTATATATATCTAACTTTACTGTCATGGGCACAATGCAGTGTTTTCAGATATTTAGATACATTCATGAGCACGCCGCGGCCATCAACTATTTAAGCCATCAACTATTTCAACGAAATACTCTTTCTTCCAACCCTCCTCCCCTGATCTCGCTGGGATGATAGCTGGACACCTTGAGGTGACCTTTTTCAGGTTAGCCCTGTATTTAGGATCGGTGCTTGTCTCTTCCAAGATTTGAGTGTTCAGGGGCCGACCAGTCTGTCTCCTCAGTACGGAGTACTGCAGGAGTCTAAAATGGAGGAGGTTTTCTGACCAGGGGGATCAGAGTTAAACCTTGAAAGTATTGTACATGTACGTGTGTGATGGTGATGGTGAGTGATCTTAGGTTGGCCTCAAGGATTTCTGTTGTCATGAAATGGGAAGAAATGACAATATCTAGATATCTACTACGGAGTACTAGGGACGTTGTTCTATGCTCTTTATATATAGATATATATTTCATCAGGAGAAATTTTCTGCGCGATGCTGGGAAGTAATAATGTGATGTAATGTACAGTACAAGATAATATCAATCTCGGCAGTTTCAAGATGGCTTAAATACTGATGATTTACACACCGCGGACCGAGAGAAGAAAGAGCCTTGATAATTCGATCCTTACTTTAGACGTTTCCCTCAACCCAGCAAGTAGTGACTGACCACGGGGGGTTGGGGGTTGTGTGTGTGTGCGCATGGCACAGGACCTTCCTCCCTCCCCTAGCAAACTACGATGCGGACATATTTACTCCGTAGATGGATTCCAGATGATCTTCTTTCCCATCATTCGCTTCCTCGCTTCCTCGCTTCCCTCCTCGTTTCTCTTTACTCTGAGTAGTTACCCCGGGCAAGCCACTATTTCCTATTTCCCATGCCCGTCGTCGTCGTCGCCTGTCGCTCTTTTAAACACCCCATCATTTTCAGCACAATACGAGGTGGAGATAAGACACTTCACACAGACAAACAAACTGCGGAGCTTTGGTGGGCTCGCCATCAGGCTAGTTGTAGTTACACACGCCCCGGCGCCGCTTTTCGAGTGGAAGAGGGTACGGGAAGTGAGAGAGAGAGAGAGAGAGAGTGTGGGAGCCAAAGAGCACACATACATATATATATATATACCCTTTCAACAGATATCGAGGGGGAAACCGATATTTGAAAAAAAACAAAGATTCGACGGCGGAGAGAGAACCTCGGATGACAAAACCTTCTCGCAACTGCTAGTTAACTTAATTTAAAGTTAAATATCCGACGAAGGTTGCCGAGATGTGGCGGAGATCGCACCGGACCCTGTCCACGGTCGTGGCATCGCTCCTGATCCAATGTCTCAGATATGCTCTACTGGTCGATGCAACTCCCGCCTCAACTTGCCCAGCCCAACACGACAGTCTCCCGGACTTTGTGCTTGAATATGGTAGGTTGATGAAGTGGAAGAGCTTTTCTTCTTCTTCTAACTTTATTTCCCACTTTATTTCTATTTTTATTTCTATTTTATTTCTGGTTCAGTGCTATACTGCAAGTCATTGTATGCCCCTATGAACGGAAGAATGAGCGAAAAATGGTAGCATCAATATATTCTCGTCACTCTTTCTAACAAAATATTCCCCATAAACTACCACCACCATGTAGCCCCCCTGATCTACCTGCACAGCGAAGACCCATACATGCCCTCCGCGTTCGCGACGCTGCTTGAAAACTCAATCCCCACAATCAACTATACGCCTGTCGCAGATGTCCCGTCGCCCCTGACGCTCGGCAATCTTGATTCGCTGAATATTCTGGGCGGGGAGGATATCTTCCTCACCTCGAAAGAGGGCATCAGAGCGCTTCCGGAGTGGTTCAGGGGCACCAGACCCGATAGGACTGGAAAGACTGTGGACGCTGTCTCGTCCGTCATTGTTGTGAGGGACCATGGTGATGGGAAGACGGTTGATGTGTTTTATTTTTATTACTTTGCGTAGGTTCTCTTTTCTTTCTTTTGGTTTCTGTTAATTTTTCGGGGAAAGAGTTGATAAGCCGCAATATGATAATTGACGATGATTGACCCTAGGTATAACCAAGGAAACACGGTCATCGGGATCCAATTCGGCAACCATGTCGGGGACTGGTGAGTTTACCTTTCCTTTCCCGATGGATGTATGAATGAACTAGCGGGAATGACGTGCCTGATCCAGGGAACACAACATGATCCGCTTCGAAAATGGGGCGCCACAGGCTATCTGGTACAGCCAGCATTCAGCCGGTCAGGCATTCACCTACGAAGCTACGGAGAAGCAGGGTCTCCGTCCAGTGGGGTATAGCTCCAATGGATCGCATGCTGTCTATTCAACTCCTGGGTAAGTTTCGCCGTTCTTACCTTCCGCTTCTCCAGACAAGAGAATGCGGAATAATAAACCTGACTGAAAACCCCAACCCAAGAACCCACGACCACACCATCCCAGGCTTCAACCTGCCGGGCGGCCTCCTCGAAGACGAAACAGACAGAGGCGTCCTGTGGGATCCCCTCCTGAGCGCGTACGCATACAGCTACGACAACGCCACCGAGATATTCACGCCGTACGATGCCAGCACGCCCACGAGCTACCTGTATTTCGACGGCAGGTGGGGTGACCAGCAGCTGCCCGATGATGCGGAGGGGCAGATCGTCCTGTTTGGACAGCGGAAGTATGTCTCTGCACCTAATGGGGTGAAGTTCAAGCGGCTGGTGAGGGAGGAGGTTTGTCCTGGGGATGGGGAGTGTGTTATTTATGATGAGGTTAGGGTGAAGAGGAGGGGTGTGTAAGAGTGGAGGGGCGTTTATATACATACCTACTTAATGAGGGCATTCTAATTCTATCTGTTACGAGGTTCAATGGTGAATGCGGAGGCGAGTGGTTTCCTTTTTCTGTGTGAGGATATGACATGAACCTGCGTTGATTGATTGCCTTGATTGTTTTGCGCTGGCTTTCCTTTGTGTGTTTCCCCTTGAATGACTTAAAATGTATGATACCCCTGCCATGGACGAATGAGGAACTTGAAGGCGCTGCGGGGGATTGAGGTAAGGAAGGAATTATGTATTTTTTCTCTCAGGAAACAATAGTTATATATGTGCAACATATATAAATACAAACCAGGGCTCTAGAGATGCCTCGCCTCGGGCTCTCTCTTTTCCCAAAGCGGCCGAGAACCTTTCTTTCTTAGCTTCAGCGAATGTACTCCGTAGAGTTAGTTATATCCCTCCATCGCCTCAATGGCCAACGGGCAGACGAGCGGGGGTGGGTTGTTGTTGAGTTGCAATGTTCCTCCCACTTAGATGTATTCAGTCATGGGTCGATCTCTATGTATGTAGGTAGGAACCACATTTTCCCACCAGCCACATCTCCCTTGACGCCCTGCTTCCTGCTTTCCTGCAGCTTTTAGAGAGGCAGGCCATAGCAAGAGCTGACTCGGGATGAGCTTGTTCTGGGAGTGGTTGGTTGAACGTGTTTGGTTTGTGCGGGTATTTCTCCCTTGCTTTTCTGAGGAGAGAGACTCTCTCCTCTTATATTTTTAGAGATCAGCACATGAAAAAATAAAAAAATTAAAAATTAACAAAAAAGAGAAGAAACGCTGTTTCAAAGCGAATAATATCAGCGTGTGTACCGTATCAAATGAAGCTTGTTTGACCGAGCCTCCGTGCTGAAATGATCAGAATGCAATGTCTGGAAGGTTGCAAGCGCTATTCCCAGCTAGCCGCGCGCGACTAGCCATTATAATATATTATTCCTTTGGAGGGGGGTCACTCAGATGCTTTTCGAGATTGTTGATGGGAACCTGCATTTGTATCTGCAGGTATGGTATTGTCTCCTCTCTTAAAAAAATAAAAACAATAGAAATAAAAGGGGCAGTAGGGGGTTTGGTTATTGAAAATCTACCGACTGAAATTCAAGCAGGACACTCCACGAAATCCGGAGAGCTTCCAAATGCTTGCTACTAGCTTGGAAAGCCAAAGACAAAACTAATAAACCAAACCAAAAACAAAATTCGCCCTCGAACTGGAACCGTGCGGATCCTCGGGGGGGGAGACAAACCACATCCATATATTTATATCAGCGTGTGTGCAACGACAACACAACCCAAGAATGCCAACCCAAGGCACAGCGCAGGAGGGTGTGACAGCTCCAGGCATGAGTCCGAGCTCACTTGACTCGGATGGCCTCGATTCCATGTTGGATTGATTGTTTCTTGCGTCAGGCGAAAGAGCAATAAATAATATTAAACCATCCAATGCGACATTGAATGAGAGCTAAACTAATAATAAATAACTGACTCTCTGGTGATAACTAACCAGGTAGTTAATAATGTAATAATGTATGGAGCGAGTACCTCCGTACCTTGATACAGAAATCCCCACGGGCTTGGCAACTGTTTCGACTAAGGCGTGATACGTCCTGTACTGTATGGGCTGTGTATCAGTCCTGTGTACTGTACTGTACATTACTCTGTACTGTACATACATGTGCTGTACAGAAGTATGCAGGGAAATGAAGGGGAAGGAAAATTATCGGACCGTATTATCGTATTGCTAGTGTTCTTACCCCTGAATCGGGGCTACAAGAGACAGAGACAGAAAAAAGGGGGCAGCATTGATGGTTAACTACGGACGGGGGTAGAGTTGAGGGATAGAGTGAGGGTGAGGTGAAGGTGAAGGTGATGGTGATGAAGAACTGCTACTGATTCTTCTTCTTCTTCTTCTTCTTCTTCTTCTTCTTCTTCTCCTTCAGTTGGTGACTATCTAACTACTAACCATGCGTACAGAATAATGTGCTATTCCCTGTGATATTATTCCTGTGGCGCGGAAGGGGCTTTGTTTGAGGCTTGTGAAACAGCGGAGAAAAGAGCTACGCAGCGGTAGGGTAGTTAGGTAGATATACAAAAAGTGGAAAAATAAAATAAATAAATAACATAAAATAAAATAAATAAAAATAATGTCCAAAGAGGCCTAACGCGGTAATTTCGTTCATCTTTTCGCCTGCTTGCTCGCTGTATCGTATCTTCATCTCCTTCATCATCTTCCCTCCCTCCTCCCCGTCCGTCCATCCTTTTCTCTTCTTTTTCTCTTTCTCTCGTTCGTGTGCGCTGTTAGTGACGCATCCCCTTTTCTCTGCCAACCCTTGCTCTGCCGGGTTAGTTATTATTATATCACCAACCCCCCTGCGACGTTCGTCGAGTGAGACTTGGTTGGCGCTCTTCGCAGTGAGTGCAGTGGTTAGTGCCTCTGTTGGTCTCCTGTGGCTTTAAGGGGGTTCTCCTCATCTGCTTCACGCAGCAAGCCAGGCTCGATCGACTTCGACTGGGACGTCCCTCTCTCTCCTCTCTCTCTCTCTGTTCTCCCTCCTCCCTCTAAAGTTACCTCCGTTCCTTTCACTATTCTTCGCTTCGATCTCTCTCTCTCTCTCTTTTGTATCTATCCCTTGTGCTCCCGCCGTCTGCGTGTTATTATTGGGGGCGATCGGCACACCAACTCTCGAACGATCGAAATTTACATACCCGGAGCTCTTCCTCTTTTTCAAGGCTGGTCTACTTTCATTGACAATCGCTTGCTGGGCTTGTTGATGTCGTCGTCTCCTACCCACCCTTTAGTTCTTATATCTCAATCCCATCGTTCATCTCCTTTTCCTCTCTGCCGGGTGATTGATTGATCTCGTTGGCTGTACGTTTTTGCTTTTGCTTTGTCTTTGTCCTGACCCCGACACGGGTTTCTGTGTTGTTGTCATTCGACTGACCCCTTGCCCTCCCCCCCCCCTCCCAGTTGCGCCAGTTGGACCGACCTTAGAAACTCGCACACCCTGTACGATCTCACGTATCGCATCCATCGCTTCGCATCGAATATCCTGTCGCCCTCCGTGGTGCTGTTGGCTATCCTATTCTGCTTCCGTCCATAGGGTTTCCCATAATTCCACGTTATTCTAACTCTACATTTCTCCCCACTCAAAACTACTGTTCGGTACCAAAAGGAGCAAGTGAAGTCATCGCAAAGGTGACTGAGAAGGTGGGGTTACAAGGCTTTCAAACCAGCCCGACGGGGAAAAAAAACAAGTTCCTTAAAAATCGCCCGTGAGTACTTTTTTTTTAATCCCCTTAATCATCTAACTTGTAATGCCTCGTGCAATGCATCCCACAATCAACGCGATTGGAGACATGTTTTCTCACCTCAGCTGCATGTACCATTGTGCCTGGGAACCAACCAACCAGAACCAATCCCCCGTTATTCTAAAAACATTTTACCTTTGACAACTCACTCGTCAGGGTTCCTTCTTCTCTTTGTCATTTTCTGTTATTTCTGTCAAAGTTGGAACGAAAAATTTGTCTGCCAATTGTTTTTTACCAGCCGCAAACTCACGTCCCACTGTTTTCTAGATACGGTTTACATTGGCAAGGCACTAAATCCAACATGTCTAGTCCAGCGAGCCCACCAACCCCTGGACACAGCCCGCACCCGGACGCCCTTCCAACTGTCACTGAGAACGGTACCGCCAATGCCAATTCTCAAACCGCAAGACGAACATCTCTAGGTTTCCTTCGTCGTTCAAAGTCCACTGAACCTCTCAGTACGGATCGCAAAGCTTCAGGAGGGAGAATGAGCAAAAGGATGCAGAAGGAAATGGCTAAAGAAGAGATGCTACGACGTCAGCGCGAAGCTGCTGCTGTCCCGAAACATGCCCCACGTCTTCCAGACCTGCCCGCCCCTCCCCAGCTCAACACTTTTGGCGGCGAAAACGCTCGACAGGAGCACCTGACCGTTACGTCAAATCGCGGTGGCAGTTACATTGATCCAAACGCACCGGCGTCTCCGTACGCTAGTGCAGCTGGAGTGAGGAATAGCGAAATTGTTGACCCATACGCGAGAACAGAGAGCATGACACACCGTGGCCGATACAGCTATGCGAGCAGCGCCGTCAGTACCATCAATAGCCCACGGAGAGTGCGAAGACGCAAGGACCCAACCCCGTACAAGTAAGTTCTCATTTATTCCCCCCCCGGCTTTTCTTTAGCTTTTTCTTTCCGTGTCGTAAACCCTACTAGTGAACCGAGGCACTAAACCACCCCCGTTAAATAGCATTCTTGTCATTGGTGCTCGTAAATCCGGAAAGACGTCCTTCCTCAATTTCCTGCGTACCTCCCTCCAGCTTCCACCGAAAAAACGCCCCACGCGAGCTCCAGATGAATTCGACGAGCCCCAGCAAGTGTCAGCAGCTAATAACAATTTCACCTCGCACTACCTGGAAACTGAAATTGACGGAGAGCGCGTAGGCCTTACACTGTGGGATTCGCAGGGATTGGAGTCTAATGTTGTTGATCTGCAGCTGCGTGGGATCACGACCTTTTTAGAGAGTAAATTCGAAGAAACCTTTAACGAAGAGATGAAAGTAATTCGCGCGCCTGGCGTGCGCGACACTCACATTCACTGCGCGTTCCTCATCCTCGACCCTTCGCGGCTGGATGCCAATATTGCCGCTGCCCACGAGTCAATGGAAGATCCGGAGAAATCGTCGAGTGTGCGTCTTATTGGAGGGCTGGATGAAAACCTGGACATCCAAGTGATCCGTACCATGCAAGGAATGACCACCGTCGTGCCAATCATTAGCAAAGCCGATACCATCACCACCGGCCACATGGCTTTCCTCAAAAAGACAGTATGGGAAAGCCTCAAGAAGGCTTGCTTGGACCCGCTGGAGGTCTTGACGCTTGAGGACCAGGATGATACTTCTTCGTCCGACGGTTTGGACAAATTCGATGAGCAGGATGAAGACGAGTTGATCCAACGTGAAGACGCCGAAGCTGAAGCTGATGCCCAAGCCCAAGCTCACGGCGAAGCGGGAGCCGAAATGGATGGCGGGGTCGTAAAACCAACGACTGGCCGCCGCACCCCTGATTCAGACACAGTCCCCATGTCCCTCCCAATCACACAATCGCCCTCCTCCCGCCAGAACAACGGTACGTCCATTTCTAGCATCAACGCGAACATCAACGCAAACCCGGAATACCCCTTCCTGCCGCTGTCGATCCTCTCACCCGACCCGCACTCTCTCGAGGATAACAACGGACCCATCGGTCGCAAGTTCCCCTGGGGTTTCGCCGACCCTTATAATCCCGAACACTGCGATTTTGTAAAGCTGAAGGACACCGTGTTTGGGGAGTGGCGCGGCGAGTTGCGCGAGGCCAGTCGGGAAGTGTGGTACGAGCGATGGAGAACTAGTCGCCTTAACAATAATGGTAATGGACCTGGTAGATCCTCGAATAAAAATGGTGTCCGTGGTGGTTCGGGGAGGAGTGGGCGTGCAACTCGATGATTTTCTTCCCTTTCTTCTTCTTCTTCGTTCATTCTTTCCTTTCCTTTTATTTTTGATTTGATTCGAATTGATCTGGACATTTTGAGAGAGTGTTGTTGTGCCAATTTTTGTTTTTGATGCGACAGGCTGCTGACCCGTCAACAATATGTTTCTTTCTTTCTATCTTGCAGGTCTTGAAAATATCTCCACCATTGCTGCGTTATCGCGCGAATTTCAATCGAGAGGCTGAAGAAAGAATAGGAGAGCTTGCGTCGACTGGCAAGTTTTGGTCGAAAGAAATTTTTTGAAAAGAGATAAAAAAAAAAAATATAAATAAAATAAAGGAGAGAGAGGAGGAAGAGGCAGTGGGCATGTCGCTCAGTTATCTGAGGGGTGACCCTGCCTTCCTTTCTCACACAGTTTGTTTTGTGTAAGATGATGGACGGATATTTTCTTTATTTGCTATTCTATTCTCCTTTCCGTTTCTACTTCTACTTCTGCTTTCTACTTCCACGCTTTAACCAACACATATATCCCCCAAATCTTTCCTTTCGCTTGTCCTGTTTTCTTTTATTCATATTGGGTTTTTTTTCCCCTTTACTTCATTTCACCTCTTGTCTTATTTCCCCCCGTCCCCGGCAATGCGTTTCTCGTTGAGGCGGCCTTTGTTTTTACTTACTTTCTCCTTCTTGCTTTTCGCGTATCCAACGCTGCTCTGGGCTGTATGTTTCAAACATGAATTTTTACTTCCAACTTCCTACTTCCATACTACTTCTTCCTTGATTCCATCCCCCCTTATTTCTTTCACCCCCTACTTTTCTTGTTCTCAGCGCTCTTCGAACGGGTCTCACATAGCTTGCCTGGGCTACTGTCTGCCTCTATCCCTATTTTACATTTCCTTTTCTTTTTTTCTTCTTTTATTTCCCTTTCGTCCTGGAATGCCAGCAAGTCTTTTTTGTCTTTTCAAAACGATGAAGAACTCTTCAAATCTGATTGATACGTCCATCCATTCCATCTACCATAGTCTTCTTCTACTACATACAGCCTTTGGCTCAAACAAACTCCAATTACCTAGGTACTACTACCCCCATCCTTAGCTCAGTTTAGCTTTACCTAGCTTAACCTGTTGACAATCTTTTATGTCTGAATTTTTTTTTTTTTTTTAAATCTTCACCCATTGGGACTTACAAAAGAAAACTCAAATTTTCTCATTTTTCATATCTGTTTCTTTGCGTAGCGAGTAGTTTTTCGCTCTTCTACTTCCTATCACATGTGAGAACAAACAACTGTGTGCATGGATATGTAGATGTACGTTGTTGTTCTATCTATCAAGAGTTATCGGGTTTTCCATCGTCCCCCGATTTGCGGATCACACGGTATTTATTACATACACCCCATCTAGCCTTTCAGCGACACAGATAACACAACAGAAAAACGAAATAGGCATCTATGCGCAATGGATGGAATCCACAAGACGCGTCGACTATGGGCAAAATTCCCCTCTTTTTCACTAGTTATCTATCCCCCCAAAAATAAAACACAAAGGATTCGTTCGCTCTAAAACTAAATCGTAAAACCAGCGGTGTATATTCATTGGTCCCTCCCTCTCCCCTCCTTCTTCCGTTAGAAAGTTACATAAGTTAAGTATATAAGTTAAGTATCCTATCACCAGCCCGTGTGCAGGCAGGCAGTCCTTGGTCCCTGTTCCCGGCTCATACCATACCCTCGTGTCTCCGAGTAGGTACCCGGGGGGGGGGAGGGGGGGGTGTCATCATGGTTTATAGGGTACGCAGTAACCGCTCTGTATGTTGAGGAGGGGGAGGGGTTTGTTAGTCTTGCATGTGGACAGTTTTCGAGATTGAGAGCCTCCATCAAAAAGTAAAAGAGGGGGGGGGAATCCAATGCTCACAAATCGGTTACATCTACATCCCTCCTCCCAGCATTTTCCGCCCCTTTGAACGCATGTCCCCGTGCACTGTAGTAGGTTTATCTGATTAGCCGTGGCGTGGAGGGGTTTGACTGAGCGCAAATACACTAAATGAAGGAGGGGAGGGATGAATGGAAAGGTAGGTTGAGTGAAATTGATTGGAAAAATAAAAATAAAAAAAAAAATAACAACCTTCCTGCTGGGACTTAAGACATCCCGCGCCTCATTGGGGGACGCTGGCATGGCGGCCACTGCTGTCATGAGGCCTATGAATGTCACGCAGAGGGCCCAGGTGAGCTTCATGATGTAGATTGGCTGGGGGGGTTCAAATGATAGAAAGAGAATGAGATAGGGTGAGATGAGAGGTTATGGGGATTCTGAGAGGAGGGGGATTGTGGATTCGGAGTTCGGGAATAGAGGAGAAAAGTTGGCCCCTAGTGGGTGGGGGGGTGTTGAGTTTTCTTGAGATCGTGGATGGAAGAGAGGAGGTGGGAGACTGATAATAAGCTAACTTTTGTGTGTTTTGCTAGCCGCTGGTTAGTTGGAATTAGTTAGGGGTGGTGGTATCGATGAAAAGGTTTGCTATCTGTCATGCAAGGAACTGTTGAGATGGAGAATGGAAGTCGAAGATCTTCCTTTTGTTAAGATGCCTTGGGATTGAATGCAGATGCAGGCGCACTCTTTATGGTATGCCGGATGTCTGTAAAAAAATGCCAAATAAACCAAATATCGCTGTGCAGGACAGAGGCAACACTTTGTGTGCCATTGAGCCTGGCTGTGTTTGCAAAATCATTGATTCACACAAAGATTGATGAGCAGACAAAATTATGCGTAGATGCATAGTTAAGCTGGCTGGGATGGAACGTTGCATTGCAGGCGTGATCTTTCAGATCCAGAGTACACATTAGAAATGCACTTTTGAAGCGAGTGAACATTTTGGTCTGGTTTCCTTCTTCCTCCATCCTTTGTTGAATGTATGTATGTCACTTTATATCATTGCGACCAGCAGGCGGTTTTGAACATAGCTCAGTGTGCGACGTGCCCTGGCATTTAGCCTCGATCCTGCGCGAAATGTAAAACTGCAACCCGCGTGGCTTTCGGGGGTAACCTCGGATGAGGTTCTATGCTCTTTGTCACCATCTCAACCTGAGGGAAACATAATTGGGCCATGTTAAAAATGTTTGGATTTCTGGGACGCATATATCTTCCGATTGACAATGCAAAGCAACGGCTGAAAGTTTACACCCTTTGTAAACAGCCTTCCATTAACTGAGATTCTTTGTACCTCATATATACCCTTCAAACGGGCCTCGTCGTAGATGTGGGACGGGGTGTGCGATTGTGATCAGGATTGAAAATGCCAGCTTGACAACAAAGAAAATTAAAAAGGACCAAGGAATATGGAAGAAATGTCGCATGAAGCCAGAGAGCGGAATCCAATTTAATACCGTTGGACAAGGCAACGTAAACCGAAAGGGACATTGGTTTGCACTGCCGGCATAACACACTTTAGCTTAACATTATCAAACATTACCAAACATCTCGAACTTCCCCTCCCATACCAAACTGTAGTGGTAAATCCAGACACCAAGCGCGGGGAAATTGCATGCCCCATTTCCTCATAAGCTCTCTTAACTCCTCCTCCCGCCCAGGGACCACATTGACAAATATCCGATCGCCATGGCACGGAGGTTCTGAATGTACCGCTCCCTCATCATCCCCGACGCGGAAAAATGTACACTCTCCCGGTCCCGCTTGTACATATCCATGGTCTCGAAATTCTTCAGCTAAACGCTGGCGAACTGATTCTGCAGCCGTGGCGCATCCGACGCATCGGACAGGCGCACAGAGATGTTCTTCGGTTTCATCACGGACCGACTTTCTTATTCGGTTGTGGATAGAGCGTGCGCGGGCGGGGGAGGTCAAGAAGAGCGTGCCGGGGCCGAGGAGAGCTGTAGCGAGCTTCCATTTCGTTTCATGTACCTTAGTTATGGGGTCCACGTCGCCCTTGCTGTAAAAGAGGTCATCGGTATGCCATCGTGGCGTATCAAATTCGCTGGTTCCTCTAGACGCCTTGACCGTGAGCCAGTAGTGGGAGAGGTTGTTTTTAAGGAGGAATTCGTTGACGAAGCTGAGGAACTGAGTGAGAGCTGGAAGGATGGAGCCGTTGACGGTTTGTTCGGACCAGGTGAAGAATGAGGGAGGGAAAGTTTGGTGTGGTTGGGTAAGCAGAGGTCCGCAGTAGGTCCATGACGACGAGAGTTTGAGACTGATACCAGCAACGGGCGATGTTTGTGATGGGGAGATATAGGGCATCACTGTGAAGGCGGTATGAGCCTCGACGTCCATGTCTACTTCGTTAGTGCGTGAATTTGTCATTATTCCGAGCGGGTATGTTGTTTTTGTTTTGTTCAGTAAAGCAGTTGAATTATTCGTCTGGGGTAAGATGGTAAGGTAAGTCTATTCCTGCCAACGGCCGCTACAATAGGATTGTCGTTGGGAGGGTTGAGAAACGAGTTGGTAAATCGAGGCGGCCGTTAGCACCGTCGCTAACGGGAGACAAGAGAGAGTAGCTAACCAGGGGTTTTCCTCCCAGGTTTAGCCCGGCTCATGTGCGGAGATCACATCCATTCCGTAATCTTGCCGCAATACGAATGTTGTTTCGAGCGGAGAAGGAATGGGAATTTTAATGAATTCTGACCGATTTCCTATGGCATGCTGGCTGGAAGTGGTTTCACCTAGACCGGTATTTGTTAGCGAGCGGTCAGTCAAGATCAGGAAGGCCTCAGACACCGGGAGGAACAGGTTCATTGAAGGCGGATATGTCGGTGAGCACCCACTGGATTTTTGTAGCTCAAAAAAATATCCTGAGATATGGGAAATTGGCCAGGCAAATTGGTTCAGATTAAATGAAGCTAAACCTGGTAAGTAACCTTATTCTGGTTTCTATATTTGGACACTGGCGGGAGGTTCCAAGATTTCCGAGGTTGGCCCCAGCAAGCAGATGGAATATAACCTTCGCGAGAAGTATGGGAACCAATGACAAGCATATATTTGAATAAATGACAAGAGATATTGGTACTAAAATCAGGGAACAAAGGCCTCAGGATGACCAGCTGGCAGCTTCACTACCAAGAGAAATTCCGGAACTAATTCATATATGAAACCCAAAAATTAAAATAAAATAATAACCCAAAAAGATTGATGACATTACAAAAATATCAGAAACAATATCCACCAGGGACTCGAAAAGTTCAACCGTAAACGTGAGCAAACATCATAACCATAACTATAAACAATAAGCCATGCGTATTTTCATCAACCATATGGGAAGGCTAAGCAGTTCCATTCGCAATGTGAACTCTCGAGCTCTTGACCAACCCAATGCAAAAGTCCGTCCAATCTTTCCGAACCCCGTTTATAACTTCCCGGTCGATGGCGTCCTCGACGGATTCTTTGTAGCGTCTTTTATACTCGGATTTGACACGTTCAAGGTGGTTAGGTTCCCAGTGCATGCGGACCAGTCGAGAAATCAGCAGCTCGGCTCGTTCACGACCTGTACCTGATTCTGCAATTGCTTGGTGGAGCAGGAGAGCATCCCGCATCGGTCGATTAAGTGCTCCGTTGAGAACATGTACGAGTGTTTCGCCCTGCAAAGGAGGTGTGGTCAGTGACGTTTTGTGGCACGGGAAAGATGAACACAAAACGGCTAGACACTTACGACTAAATTTTGTGATTTGGTTATCATTTCTTTAGCGAAGTTCTTGCGGTATGTATCTTCATAGAGATGCAAAACTTCACGGAGATGCGTATCGCCCCTGACGAGGATAATCTGTATCATCGCCGTTTCCCCTCCTTCTCGCGAAATTAGAGCACGGTGGAGATCACGCATGTCATCGCGGACAAGGGATTTGTCCAAGGGGGCCGAATTGGGCTGCCGTCGCTCTTCAAGTGCCAGCAGGATCGCAGCACGAAACTTGTCTGCTTTGAGTTCGGCTTTCATGCACTTCTCAAGATCATCTCCGTACCGCTTATCGCGGAAACACTTCTTAATCTCGCGGATTTCAGCATTCGTCCGTCCGATAAGCGACTCGATGAGGAGTTCACGACGCAGTGAGTTTGATCGGTACCAGAAATTGGCCCAGTGTGCCTCAGATTCCCACCTTCCTAGTGCTGTCGTGTAGCAAACTTTACCGAAATTTCCTGGGACTTGTACCTTGATATGTTTAGCTATATTAACCCCCTTACCGCCTATCTTAACGAGATTTTTATATTCAGCACGGAGCGCTAGCAGATCGTCCGAAGAAAGATAAGGAAGAATATCTATTAGAGGTTTAGGGTCCGCGTGGGAATGGTGTAGGGCCAATTTTAATTCCTTCGCGTCGGGCTTTGGATCGTAGAAGGATACTTTCTTTTTCGGTGCGATTACTTTTATGTCTGCATCGAGCTTTGACGGCTTGTTCTTTGTCTTACTGCTGTTATCGTCCTTCTTGGATTTACTTTTCCTAGATCTACCTAACTCCGAGCCTGAGATTGCACCGCCATCTAGTGGCTCCAGATCTGATAAGCCTTCATCCATATAGGATGGAACGGATGTTGGCCATGGCATGGGCGAGATGCTTTGATATGTTCCTTTATAAGCCTCGAGCAGTGGGCTGGCAGGAGGACGACTAGCGTCCGGAAAGCTACCGGGTACTGCCATATGACCATTGGAGGATATTGACAAGCTGTGTGGACGCTCGGTCGTCTTCTTCGGTTTAATTTCAACGTAAGTTGGATCAGGAGCCTGAGAGTGGGGTTTGATACTCTGTGTATATGGTTTGGTGGGCTTTGACGTGTATGTGATATTAGGGTCGGGCTGCGCGTATTGGAATGGGGCTAATTGGGCATAATATGGCTGCGTAGCTGGAGTTGTACCCATCGAGTATACGCGCTGATGGCCCGACTTGCTTTGTATAGTTGTTGTAGGAGGCGACTCGGTCCCAGTAGATGATGGCATTGACATATTGGCATATTGATGTGGGTTATAACTAGCTTGAGAAATTAGAGGATACTGGCTCGATGGGACTGGAGCGTGAGATACAATGGGCGGATCGGGCATTGCATACGTGGTAGCAGGAGTCGGCGTAGAATGCTGTGTAGATGTGACGGGGTTGTTGAACTCAGGCGGAGGCACGAAACCAGGGCGTTCGCATTCTGGAACTTCCGCCCAGTCAATCGGGTATTTATTTTGGTTTCCGTATTGGCTCGTTCCAGTGTCGCTTGGTCTGTTCTGGCGATGTGAGGGAGGTTGTGCATAGCGGTAACCGTCTAGTTTCGCATAGCTTAGATGCTCTCTTGAATCGTAGTCGTGGCGAGAAGGATACTTGGGTGATTCTTCTCCTCGAAGTTTGGCTAGTGCACGGCTATATTTGGACGAACCTCCCGCCGAATCTGAGTCGTGCTGCTTGGTGGAAGAGGAGGTGTATTTCTCCCGCAAACGTTCGTAACTTGGGGCAGACGGCGGATAAGGCACCTCTCCATAGGCCAAGGCATCGTCCTCCGATTCGGTATAGGACTCATCGGAGTACTGTTCATACCTTGAGGCCAGTTTTGAACTTAGGTGTCTAGAGTATCGCCGGTCACGATCTGAGTCGTAACGGTATTTGTCAGATCGAGGGGGTTCCGCTGCGCTGGTGTGTTTTCGTACCGCCGCTTCCTCATCCGATACGTAGTAGCCAGGAGGCTGTGGCTGTGGCTGCGATTGATGTTGTTGTTTAGGCTTCTCAGAGCGTCGGTATTTGTCGTCGTCAGCATGATAGTCGTGGTACTTTCTGCTCGACCGTGAGCTAGCATAAAGGGTCTCCTCCTCCGAGTCCGGATGGAAGTACTTCTTGGATCTTCCGGTCATTTCTCTCGGAGGAGACGATGCCCGAGTCTCGCGTGTACGTGAGCGCTCGCGAATCCTTCCACTGGGGGACTTTGATCGGGTGCGAGATCGCGAGTCGTGAACACGGAGTGAAGCCATTTCGGCAAGGCTGTACTCCGTAGGTATAGTTCTAAGCGCTGACTTGTAGACACGGGAGAGCTTTGAATAAGAGTCGTATATAGTAGTAGAAGCTCAACTCTGTAACAAAACGTCCACCCCACAAGAATGAAGAATGAACTGCAAACAGCATCACACAAGAGATGGGCTGTGAAGGATGAATCGACGGCGCGATCCTTCGGGGGTCAAGTTGTGTGTCTTTTTCCTAATTCAGCAGATTGGCCCGAATCCTGGAATCTGGAAACTTTAAAGTTGAGCCGTGCCGCATGACTAAGTAAGATATTAACCGTAAACTGACTAGTGTTGTGGGGGCCAAAATTAAGCTTCAATTTTGTTTGGTTCAGCCGCAAGCTGTCCCGGAAAGACCATGACTGTTAATACGAGTTGAAACGAATGCAACATCTGGGGCTCTGGGGGATGGCATTTGGATTCAAAAAATTTCATCACGCGAATCCGATGTTGGTTGACGTTCCAGATTTTGAAGCATCAGGGATGAGGCTTCATTGATTATCCGTGGGCGTTGAACCTTTAGGGAGTCGGTAAAACTGGACTTTAATGGATCATTCATTTGCCTTTTCATTCGTCGCTGTCTCAATGCTTGGCCCCGTTTATATGCTCTATTAGTCTCCTATATTCACGATGTACTGTACATGTACATGTACATACAACGTATAGGTTATATGCGTAAAGATTTGCCTCGTCCGAGAAAGTTTCCATTTCTTTTTGTGACAGTTTAGATTGGGCGTTGGCGCTGCTGATGAGGACTGAGTTACCTACTTTCGATTTGAGGCAGTCCACCTTCATGCTCCAGTGACACTCGAAGACTTCTTTGTGGCATTCCGGACACTTTATCACCGGGCGGTTGGGTGGCCCTCCACTGCTTCCCGATCTCCTTCCCGCGCTCATCCCACCTATGCTTTCTCCCTATTTGGTGGGTTGAATCTTTGTGCTTGCTTCTCGTCTCGTCTCTGTATCTCCCCAGGTCCGTCCTCCATTCCTTTCGCCCAATTGCCTACTTAGGACGTCTCTTGGTAAATTCATCATCGTTCATTTACCCGCCTTCTTCAGCCCTGATTTTCTCGAGCGGCTAGGCGTGCCAAGTATGTCTCTTTTGGTAGCATCCGCTGGAAGATCTTCGCGGACGGAGATATCCTGACATGGAAAACAAAGTAGAACCTACCCTTGTAAGCATTAGTGATTTTTTCACATATTCCGTGAAATGTTAATACTCACGGAGGCCAGAAAACACCTGAGACGCAGAGCTTGTAGAAATGAAAGGTCGTGTGGAACAGACCAGCAAAGGCTGTTTGTTGGTGGGCCCCTGTCCTCTAGTAATTCCCTCTGGGAATATGGAGGGCGACAAGTATGGTTTTCGAAAATCTACATACCTGAAAAACGCCATCCTCTGTAGCTTGCAAGTATCATGCCTTAGCGGGCACTTTGGCGTCTGCTCTGAAACTTTGCAGACAGGCCGCTCCAAGGTCCTGATTTGATGCTAAAGAAAGCTCCCATCGGTTGTAACGAAGCTCTCATATGGCCTGGCACGAATGTTATCTTGAGTAAGCTAGATATGTGAGATGAGCTGGAATGCATAGAGCGGGTGTTGAGTGTTCCTAGTTGCAAGGAGGATGCTTGAAGATATGATATGCCTTTAGGTTACCATGAGCGTTTCAAAAACATATAGGAGGAGAGGTTCACAGGTAGGATAAAGTGAATGGACACATGAATTTTCCAAAGTTTGAGGAACCTATGTACGGGTAGAAAAGCAAGGGAGCAAAGCAACTGAGAATCCATTCACAGCCTTGACCATCTTTTCAATGCCATATGAAGCAAACAGAAACGAAGTGTGGGGTATCATCAATTTGAAAACCAAAACACCTATTGTCCAGCCCAGTAAAGTGTCAGAAAAGCCAACTTCAACGCCTTCAGAATCCCTAAAGATGTTGCTTCCTGCAATATTAAAAATAAATATATATCGGAGTTAAAGCTGAATGTCCCACTTGAAATGAAGTAGAAATGGAAAATTTCATCATTATGGGGTCAACCTGAATTCCGCTTAAGGAAAGGAGTCATATCAATCCCTTTCAAGCATATCTTCAAAAATCGTAATCCCCATTTCTCGTAATTTGCGTTTATCTTCAGTTTTGAGAGGAACCTTTTCGAAGTTTTCAGGAAGTGGTTGGCCGGCCCTGTTTGAAATAATGTTTTAGCTTAGCATTTGTGGATTTAATTTGGACAGAGTTATGAAAAAACAAATAAAGCATACTTGTAGTAATCGACAGCCATCTGTCTTGCTTTATCTTTCAGATTCACCTGATCTCGAATGATCAACTTCGGATGTTCCAAACTGTCGTCAACTTGTTTGATTTTCGCCCACTTGGGTCCATGTCTGACAATCATATTTTTAAGCTGATTGCATTCATCTACGGACCATGGGATCCTACCACCACCTGGTTTCCGCACCCGTCGATTTATTTCAGGAGCAGTGCTGGCTGGGGGTATATTTCCCACAACGTTTGTGAATTCTACTGATTCTGACTCAACTCGACCACCCTGTCGGCTTTCGAGATTCTGCGACTGTCTTGGGGGCGTGGCTGATGGGCAGGGAGTTGCTGTTTCAACTCGTCGTCGCTTCCGACCTTGTAGTCCCGCAATGGATGCACGTTTCTTCTCAACTCGGATATTGCGAGTGTCTGCTTCGAAGCCTTCTTCTTCGGAGAATTGGGTGCGTTCTTCCGCATGCCCTTCGTCCTCCTCAACTTCAGAAGCGTGTCGTTTCTTGGAACGACCAATTAAACGGCTTCTATCAGATGATGCTAATTGGCTAGAACCGATTGGAGACAATCTACGAGCGTCAGCTTGGCGATCAATAAAGGCCGCTGGGGGGGTTTTAAAAGTTGGTCTTTGCCGTTGAGAAGAAGTAGCAAGCCGTTGACGTTCAGCTATCTTGACGATTTCCGACGGAGATGGACGGGGCGATCCGCCAAGTAGTGCTGGACGTGTGCGCTCGCCTGGGGTAGAGCTTTGGCGAAATGCATGAGCACTGGCTTTGTGAGACCCGCTAAGTCTGCTTGGAGATTGTTCACCATCATTGACATGTGGGGTCGAATCGCGGGCTGCTGCGACAGCCTCTGTTTGTGGACTTCCCGAAGGTTGATCAACCCGTACATTACTAGCTGCAGAGCCCACCCTGGCCTGAAGATTCACCAAGTGCGACACGAAGGCTTTAGACTTGAAAAATCTATTGGAATATAATCCCAGTAAGTATTTTGTGCAAGGATCGATGATAACTGAAGGGGAACTCTGTATGACAATAGGGTATGTGATAGATAGTGGCTTCGTTGCATATAAACCAATCAGGACCTACCCTTTTCCAATAGAGAGCATAGACTTCCTGGTGCTTGTGGATTCCGTTATCTGTGGTTTCTGAACATCCGCTTGTTCGACGCCTACTGTGTCGGTGACAGAAGGGGCAGAAGTTGTCGATTTGGGAATGGAAGCGATACTTTGTTGGTCAAGGCTTGATCGGCGATCTACTTCAATTTGTAGGATCTCAACAGCCTCATTAAGAGATGCTTGCTTCTCTAATTGCTCATCAATTTCGTTTGCTCTCATGCGAATCCACTTGCATGCCTGGACAACGAATTCCGACCAAGGAAACGTGGATTCCAGTTCGTCAAAGTGAACGAAAGTGGTGGTCTCATCCACGTTAAATGTCTTTCGAATTGACGCTCGCCGCTCGAGAACTTTTTCGTAGAATCGCTCGGGGATTCCGCCACCCTCGTCACGTAGGCCGCTGATTTTCCAGCCGAGTAATCTTTCAGACTCATCACCGCTTTTCGCAAACGCGGTAAAGACAGTTTCCAGTATACTGTCCGGGGCGAATTCAACATTTATTTCTTGTTCCCCCGATCGGAGCTCCGCAATGGCACGTTGTGTGCGTAGTTCTAGGCCCAATTGGAAAGTTTCGTCGAGCAGAGCGCTTTGCCCTGGCGTTGTAATTCGATCGTCTTCTGGTGACAAGAACGAACTTATGAATAACACCGGGAATGATTCATCGAGGTCTGAGAGGTGATATTCTGAGAAAGGAGACATGTTCCCACGCAACGGGATGAGATCTAATGCAAACTGCACAAGATTGGCTTTTTGGATGAACTCGTCTGGATACCACGGAATGTGTTTCAAGGATGGGAGCATGTTTACTGCAGCTTCGACGGTAATAAAGTGCTGACCGCCAAAGTACTTCTTTTGGGTCTCAAACGTGTCCCGTATACGCTTGACTCTTGCTCTGAAGGTGGCGTTTTTAAGATTTTTAAGTAGAGTCGTGAGGGAAAAGGCCTGCGGAACTAGGATTCGTAGAGCATTCTTTGTAGAAGTATCTAGGTCGGGTAATGCCTCGATCATTATACTGGGATCTAATTCTCGCGATTCATGTTCGGAATCTGTAGCGAGCAGGGTTGTCCCCGTGATATTGAAATGGTCGACAGGTGATTCAGGAACAGATCGTTCGCTGCGTCTCGAGTTTTGCCTCGTAAGGTCTGTGTTAAACCTGCCGGCAGCATTCTTACGAGGGCTTTCATAGACAGGGGACAATTCTGTCCGTGGTAAAAAAGTGTAAGCTACGATGTTATCCTATTCATAATGAATGCAATTGATACTTTTGGGTCCAACGTGTGCTAGGTTCGACAATGACGACAATAATCCAGACCAATTCCATTCACCAGTCAATGTCTAGTTAAAGAACACAGCCTGGATGAACTGCCATGAAGTATAACGAGGATATAGAGGAGACAAAACCAACCATAGTTGCGAGTCTTAGACCTAACATTTCCAGCTCGATTGTTCTTTACTGGAGTATGAGATAGATCAACATCGGAATCATCTGAGTTCACTGAAGTGGCAACAGATTTGGAGGGGGAAGCAGGCGCATGATCTATTCCACCCAATTCCCTGCTGCGGCTCCGGGTTTGTCGAGTGGAACGGGGCAAGTTAGGTGGTTGTTTAGAAGCGCTTTTCCACTGGGCGCGAACTGATGTTGCTCGCGTAGCGGCCGGCATTTTCAACGACCCACCACCGGCGTAATTTCGATGGCTGGGCTATCAAATCAATGAGTAATGACGCCAAAGAGCGAGAGATGACATTGTTGTGATGATGGCGAATCTTTCAAAGTCGCGCTTCGCATGGGATAAAGGATAAAGAGAAGATGAGCTAACTAACAACCCTAACCCTGGCCAAGACCTACGTCACATGACTTGACTCGGGAGTCAGGCTAATCCTCTTTTAGATCTGCAGCACCGCACCAGCCCTGTGCTTACTCATCCACAGCTTTCGAGTTTGCGGCAGCGACTTCAGGGGCAAATACAGTTGAACGTGGGTGCCAACAAAAACTGATTGTGGTGCTAACTTAGGCTGGAAAAACAGCTTGGTGTGGGTTCCAAACTCAATTTCACCTTGGACGACCCATGGCAGGAGCCCATTAAAAGTACATGCACTAGACAGATTCAGCAAATCATTCCAAGATTGGTACATCTCACTCAACTCTCTTTTACCTTAGTGTAAGGAGTGTAAATTAGACAGTTCATAATTAGAATTAGAATTAGATTAAACAGGAAAGATATAGAGCCTTTGAAAAATATGAAAAATCAATATTATGAGGGGGATTGGCAGAGGGTTAGACTGGATTAGTAATATCTGTGTCTTATGTGTGAGATGTGTAGTGTGTATGTGTTTTAGAGGGAATGCTAAAATTGAACATGTGTTCGGAAAAGTGGTCGAAAACTTGGCTCCAATGTTCAACTGTAACCCGCGATGCTAAAATGTCTCTGGATGTGTTAACTAGCAAGTAGGGTTCTTTGTTTTGAAAGTGTTATTTACAGAGAGAGCATATATGACAGTCCTTTCTGTTTGTTTTATTATCGTTGATGAGCCTGTTTTTGCCTTTCTTGTCACTCTCTTCTCCCCTTAAACATAAACAAACACCTGCGCGATCCTTATCATTGCTGCCAGCTGGCTTCCTTCGTGCATTCCAGACATATTTCTCGAACCCGATCCTACATATTTTCCTGATTGCCCACTCTTGATTCAACCGTTTGCCTCGTCGGAGTCGATTGAGCATCTCCCTAAGTAGTGTCTACGGTTCTGTTTCAACCTCAGATATACAATTTTCCGCCATGAGGATCAGACGATTTCCCTCACCATTCCTCCTCCTTGCCATCCCGGCCATCACCTCTACCTTGGCCAATCCACTAATAGATTCCAGTGGACTTGCTAATTCGAGGTCGTTAATAAGCAATCGGGCTGCCATTCCCGATTCCGCACCACTAGCCAATTACCAAGATAACTTATCGCCCAAAGCTCGAGATGTACCATATGATGGGAAGGACGGGAAACCACACGCAGGACCTTGGGTTGAGACAAATGCTGGCCGGGATCGTAAGAAGGCGAAAGAATCGCCGAATGGGGAGCAACCAGTGAACCCCGATTCGACTGATCCACCGTCACAACATTATGGACCAGATGGGAGACCAATTCCCGCGTCAAATGATGGGGTTATGGATGATCCGAACCGGGAGCCGCCCAAGGAGGGGACGACAGGGACAGAGGGCGGTGTCTCGGAGAAAAACAAGGAATCCAATTCTGGGACTGTGAAGAATCCAGATCCACCAAAGGAAGTCCCCCCTTTACCGCACAGTGAGCAACAGAAGATTAGCCCTGGCGACGAGGCTGAACCAAAGACAGAAGGCGATGGCTCGGAAAAAGATACAGTGCTGGAGGTAAGCAGTGGAAACCCTATGTGATTGATGCACATGCGTACTCGAAGCTAATTCTGTGTTCTCTGCGTTGTATAGAAGCCAGAAGACCTACCCGAGTTACCCCATTCCATTCCCCGACCTGCATCGCCTGGCCGTCCAAGTGATCCTCTCGACCTTGATCAACAGGGTTCTCCAACAGACCCATCTCACTATAAATACTCCCAAGTACCCGAAAACATGATACAGCCACTACATTCATTCCTGCTTTCCCTCACCATGATACTCTTCTCCGAAGTCGGCGATAAAACATTCCTTGTTGCTGCCCTGATGGCCATGCGCCATCCGCGCATGGTTGTCTTTTCCTCAGCTTTCACCGCTCTCATCGCAATGACCGTGCTATCCGCTCTCCTGGGCCATGCTGTCCCTACCCTAATCTCGAAATCGTTCACAAACATTCTAGCTGCGGTGCTTTTCCTTATCTTTGGCGTGAAGATGGCTTTCGAAGCAAAAAAAATGGCTCCCGACGAAGGTGTGGGTGAGGAGATGAAAGAGGTCGAGATGGAACTGGAAGAGAAAGAACATCAACACCGGCGACTAAACCGACGGGGATCTATTAGCCCCTATGCACTCGAAGCTGGGCGTGGCCCTCGGAAGAGCCGCTCCTCGAACCACCGCCTCCCGCCTCCTGAAAGTATTTCCTCATCATCGTCAAGAGGCAGCTCCCCCTCCCGTGGTAACTCTTTATCAAGCATGGGGGTTGGCTTGAACAATTTATTCTCATTTCTTTTGAGCCCTGCGTGGGTTCAAACATTCGTCATGACTTTTCTTGGAGAGTGGGGTGATCGAAGCCAGATTGCTACTATTGCTATGGCTGCCGGTAAGGATTACTGGTGGGTTACGTGTGGCGCTGTCACCGGTCATGGAATCTGTACAGCAGCAGCAGTGATCGGGGGACGGGCAATTGCTGGCAGAGTTAGCATGCGGGCTGGTAAGTATCATGTCATACCTTTGGAGAATATAATCATACCACTCGTAAAACTAATGGTCTGCGTTTTGTTGAATAGTAACATTTGGCGGCGCCGCGGCATTTTTCATTTTCGGTATCATATACATCTTCGAAGCGATCTATTAATTTTATATCGATCCTGGCGCACGTTCCATGCTATCGGGTCCACGGCAGATGCATTTATCCTCTTCACTGGTTTCATTAACAACGCATCTTCACTCCTCAAAACTCGAAATGATCATATTGCATAAAATGAATGCGCCTGTGATATCTTAGCGCCGGGACTACTCCTATTACCGACTTTCCTCCCCTTTGCGCCACATTTTAATACTCCAGGTTGTTTGTCCTGACCTGCTTAATTTTTACTCTTCATGTATTATTTTCATTGTGCCCCTCTTGTGCTACGCGACCTCGACTTAGGTTTTTTTTTTTTTTTTTTTTTTTTTTTTTGGCTGTCCACAATGTGGATTCCTTTCTTGCTGGTCTAACTTATAGATTTCTTGCTTTGATATTCCTGTCTGCAAAGAAATAAACAAGCCACGATCTGACATCTACTAGAGATGGGGCTCTCACTATTTTTATTTCATTTTATTTTTTTTTTTGGTCGACACACATGCTGGCGTGGTTTATTTTCTTGCTTTCTTTGCAAGCCGTACCTTACGCTGAGTATGTCTCTGTTCCTGATATCTTTTTTTTTTTTATAATCTATGTTTCTCTTTTCTTTCTTGTCTGCAAATATCTTTTGCTTTTGAATGGAGATGCTTTGGCATTTCTTTCTCTTTCTTTTTTCTATTGTGAAATAAATACTGTTCCTTGTAATATATACATCCACACCGCATTGAAAAGTTCTGCATCTATGACAAAAGATAGTCCTATCGAGTCATCTAGCGTGTCATGCATGCATAAATCAGTTTTACCCCTTAGGCACGGTTGCTGTGTTGTCCTCCCACTTATCCCATGATATTCGTCAAGTCATCATCGCCGGCTGATGTATCCCTTTGTGTCCCCGAAGCAACAAAAGGGATGGACCTTTACTGTTGAACACCTTTGTGTCTTGTGGCTCTTAGTTTCCAAAGCAACGCAGTGAGTATAGAAACTGTTTACTTTCTCCTCTGCATCTCCTCTGCACAATTAATCTTGATCAGTCTCACTAGGATCCAATGCAATATTCATCCTTGAGACTGTGATCAACACCTCATACCCATCATACCCAAGAACAACACAAGGCATGGAACTTCCAGTTCCTTTCTCACATTCCTGTTCAGCACTCATCAACACATTCTCCCTGATTTTGCTGTGTTGTGTTGCTTATGCTTGGTTTTCAATTCCCCACGCATCTCAAAGTTCTTATCCAACCGGTGCATATCGTGCATCCCTTCTATCCTCAATCAATCATCAGAAGTTACGTGCAAAACAAGAGTTAAGAAGGAACAGCTCGTCAAGCCGCAATCGATTCCAAGCAAGGAAAAAGAAAGCCCCCCCGCCAGCTCCTTGAGGACAGCAGAAAAAGAACGGCGGAAGGAAAACAAGCAACCATGCCAAAACCTCCTTTATTCGGCCGCCGCCGGCGTTCAACCCCCACCCCATCTAGAATCGACGAGAGTAGCGTTTTAGACACCGAAATCACTGAAGTATCCCGCGACCGCAAGCGTGAGACAGCGGTGACTTTCAATGTTTTCTACGGGAAACCGGATCTGTCCCGCCAGCTGCTTAAGCACGTCGCGTTCACTGACAACGCTTCCGTGCACACGGAGTTCTTCGAACAGTGTGGCAGACAAGTGCTGGTGCAGAACGGTAAAGACAAGGGCAAGGGCCAAGGGAAGAAGGGGAAGGAGAAGGGAAAAGAGAAAATGAAGAATGCATTTCATGCTTGCCAGACGGTGGAAAGCGGGTTGCCGCAGTTTCAGGAGCTGGCCTATTTGGCTGCAGGGTTCAGTGAGGAGGTTTTGAAGTTGTGTGTGGGTGGTTGTGCTGCATGTGGCAGCCATGATGAAGATGGCGATGGCGATGGTGATGGAGGCAAAGGGAAGGGAAAGGCAAGCGCGGCGAGTGCAATGGTCTATCGTCCACTTTGTTGCTCTGTGGATGGTTATGAGATGTTAGAAGATGGGCTGTGGATGCGCAAGCTTATGATGGCTATTGCGCATTTGGTGGAGGAATTTGATACATGCGAGAAGGCCAAGAAGGCTATTGGGATTGTGGAGAAGGTTGAGGGAATGGATGACGAGGCGGAAACGCATCCTTTTGTGAATATTTTGGCGGTGCCAGTCTGCGAGCCGGATGGGGAGTGTCAGAACATCGCGGAGAAGGCTATCGACTCATTTATGCAGGGGATTCTGAAGGGGTTGGAGAGTGATAATAAGCGGTCTAGTGCTAGGTTTTCATCCAGAGACTCTTTTTCCAAAGGCGCATTTGATGAAAGTGTTTGGGAGGATGACATGGGTCTGAGCGACGGCGATACCGAGAAAGACGACGACGATGTTGACAGTGAGGGCGATACAGAGAACGATCAGGCCCCTCCAAAGAAGCGCGATAGGCCTTCTCTTTCGCGCCATATGAGCCTCGAGACCATGCAGCCAGTCCGCCTTGTTGTCTTCTCCGGCATCCCTATCGTCGATCCCAAAGAACCACCCCGTCACGGCCGACTGAATATGTTACTTTTCACCTCCAACTGGCCAACAGAGATGCTTACTGGCTACGGAGACCGGGAAGAGCCCGAGTATGTGTGCTACCAACACATCGCAGCATTTCACGAACAAGCCATGCTGGACGCAACCGATTTCCGCTGTGCCATCTGTCCTGGCACGGGGACGAAAGCCACAGCCCTCTTCCATTCCCCTATCTCTTTTAAACGAGACAACAGCAACTCCAGCTCCAGCTTACAACCCATCCGTGACATCATCATGAAGCTGGCCAAGTATGTAGGCGGTAGCTGGAAATACCCAGACACCACCGCTGCGCTGGGTTTGGATGGATTCCCTAACATCACCGACTTCGTCGTGCCCATCTGCGAGAGAGACTCTGTTTGCGAGAAGACTGCGCTGGTCACAGCTCAGGTGTTTCTTCATATGTATTTGCCCGAGGGAGTTATCCCCTTATACCCAGACCTATATCCCACGACGGACTTCGCCCGTATTTGGAAGAAGGAGAAATTCGGGAAGAATCCGAGACTCATCTCGAAAATGATCGGGACTGGGCTGATGAGTGACAGTCATGACGGTGGTCAAGAGGAGCACAGGTACAACGGTGCCGATACCGATACCAAAACACCTCAACGCCCGTCCCTGAAGGGTAGACACAGTAACAACAGGTCTTCGACCGGCTCCGAGCCAAGAACCAGAAGCTGGATCAAGGGCATGACCATCGAAGATTTCCGCCAGGCTGTCGAGAACGGTGCGACTTGGGACCAGCTCAAGGAGCTCTGCTTCGAAAACCTCAGGATCGTGCTCGACTTCCAGCCGCCTGTGACGCCAATGGCGCTGGCGACGGCTCCTACTTCGCCTGTCGCTGCTACACCGACTTCTGAAACATTCCAGGGGGGAGTGTTGGAAGGTGGAGGGTTGACTTCTAGTTTTGGATCTAGTTTTGGTTACCCTAGCTCTGCCACGACTTCGTGGTCATCGGCGGGCCTAGCTGCTCGAGGCGATGAGGGATATTTTACGGTGAAGAAAGTGTGATGTTTGTGTCCTTGATTTCTTTGTGCCCTCTTTTTGTTTAAGGGTTGGTTATTGTACGTTATTGATTAATAGTACATGTACATGTTAGCGTCACAGATTTCCCCTTCCCCAAATATACGTGGAATATGTGTGGTTAAAATACACATACACAGGAGGGGAAAAAAATTAAAAAATAAAAAGGAAAAGAAAGGCAAAGAAAAGAAACAAAAGAATAGAGAACCAAGACCTCCGTACTTTGTACCCATAAACCATGCAAATCTGCCTCACTTGGGCCCCCATCTCCTAATTCCCTACTATTTAGATTCACCCCTGAATAACATCCGGGATATCCATCACATACTCCCTGAGATCAAGATCCATTTCAAGCTCAGCAACATCCTCACCCCGATTCCCCACTCGCCCATTCTCATTCTCATTCCCACCCTCATTCTCAATCGCCTCTACCCCGCCCTCCGCCGCCCGCCTACTAAAAAGGCGAAAGCGAGACTCCTCACCCCGCTCTACCTCATACGGATGAACATCAACATGATCAAAGCGTACCATTTTCTTCTTCTCCCTCTTCCTCTTCTTCTGCTTCTGCTCATTATTGTGCTTGGATCGGTGGGAACTTGACGATCTGCTTCGCCTACTAGTACCAGTACTGGTACCAGTAGCAGCGCCAGCGCCAGCACCAGCGCCTTTGCCTTTACCTTTACCTTCACCTTCCCTTTCTCTTTCCCCATCATCACCCCCATCTTCATAACCATACGGCTCCTTATGATAATTTGTTTTCAGCGAGATTACGAAATTAATCGCCGACATCGGCGATGGGGCGGACTCGCGACGGCGCCGCGCGGAGGGCGACATCTCGCCGAGCTCGTTTTGTGTGGCGGTATCGTAGCGTGTTATGAAGGTGTTTCTTTCTGTGTTGAGTCGGGTATCTGCTTGGGAGGTATATGGCATGGATATCCGTCCCTGTGCATTGTCGTCTACTACTGCTGTTGTTGGAAGTTTAAGAATTGGCTTTCTTTGCGACGGGTGGCGGGTGAGGTGGGACTTTTTTGGGCGGGTTGAGGAGCGGGAGCGGGAGGACAAAGATGGACGAGGTAACGGAGTGCTGGGGTGGATTATGGTTGGGATCGGAAGGTCTGTGTTTCTTGTCGGGGTTCTGGCTCTGCTTGTGGAATCGGAGGATTTCCGCTTTACTGAAGCTGGGCGTCTCCGTATATTGTTATTTTTGCTGGTGCTACTTTTGTTTCTGTTGCTGGCGTTCTTTGTTCGACTGGTGGTGGCCCCGGAAGTGGGTGAGGATAAAGGGGTGGGTGGCGCGATTGCTCCAGGACGGCTAGGGAGTGCAGAGGACAACTCGCTGGATGGCCATGATGAATTCTGGGTACTTAGGCCGGGGGGGTTTTGTGAGTCGCTTTGTTGACTGCTTTGCTGCGGGCTGTTGCACTCCTCAGCTGGAGACGAAGAATCCCCAGTTGTTCGTGGGCGTGATTTTCGGTGCAGGATATTTGGAAAATGGAAGCCAACCATTTTATACGCGTTCGGCGGTATTCACGAAGGTATATTATTCTTCAGAAATTGATAATCAACAAGCTTGATGGGGTAATGTATAGATATATAAGGATAAGTTGTGGTATATGTGTACGCCTATACCAAACGTGGATTGATTAGCAAATACCTTAGGTAGCAGGCTTTGTCGCATCAAGTATGCTCACAGTTGACGTGATGAGGATGATTTTCTGAGCTAACTGGGTTTTTTTTTGAAGGACGGGGAATCGTTATATACCTAGATATAGCTGCAGTGAAGGACCTCATAATTGCGAGCACGAGCATATAATAGAGTTGTAATATAGGCATATGGGATGTCAGCAGTGGAAGGAGGAGGATAAAAAGTTGTACATAAAAAGGTATACTTGTACCAGACAGCAAGCAGTACATGACCAGCAAGTGATCATGCATACTGAAGCCATGGTCATGTTCCCCTGAGAGTCATCTTGGTGTCTGAAGTCGAGGTTGCTTGCGGTTGACTGCGATGAGAGGGCATTGTATATTCTCTTAGTAGTTTAGAAAACTTGTACTTTTCGTATATTGATTAGGGGCATCGCTAAGCCCAGTCGTTGTTTACCTCTTGGATATTATTGGGGACAATACGTTGGTGATTCCACATTTTCGAAGTATATGGCTTGGGTATATCTTTATCAGGTGAGTGAAGCTGAGGAGGAAGAAAATGTACTGTGCGGAATAGGCCAGTACAGGTGGCCCTTGAGAAGTAGAATAACACAACGGCTGAGGAATGTTGCTAATTCATAGACAGACCGTCTCAGCACGTAGAATGCTATTGTGGAGGTGCAGCATTTAACAATGAACCAGCACGGTCTTTGTGTGCGTCTTTTGTGACGTTGATATATCCAGGGATATCGACGAGAATCCTGCACCTGGGGCATAAAGCGAACAGCCCAACACGGCGAAGACGGAGAATCAAGTTTCGCAAAGGACCCCGAGGAAGCCATTCAAGAAAAGGTAATTTTCGAAAAGGATGCATGACTTGTGCAGACGACGACGAAGCCCAATATATGGGTTTTGATTGATCATCCCGACGAAAGCGAACGAAAACCAAGCAATTCGACCGCGGCAAGCTTGAGGAAATGCACGATGACCGCATCAGCGCTGATGTCTCCATCAGATGACAGGCGACTGGCTAGGTAGTTACTAGCAGTCTTTGCACGGTGATAGTCGCCGCTTACCCAGATCACGCTGTGGCAATCTCTCTCTCTCTCCCCACAGCAAGCCGCAGATGAGAAATGTCAGTAGCAACAATGTATGGCGGTGAGAAAGCCCCGCCTCCCACGCTGTGCATGGCGACGCATATCTCCCCATCCACATCCGTCACGGCTGCAGCGGCGCGACGAAAGCCGTGTTCTGCCAAGGCATAAGTGCAACCTCCGCCGGCCATTAGACGCCTCATCTGCAGGGCCCAAGAACAGCCATGACGCCATTCTTCCGAGTTTACATTTTCACGCGGACAAGCATGAGACGAACACTAGGAGCTTGGGTGCAGCACTGGATCGGTGGTGCTGATTGACAGGAAGTACTGTGAAGTTTGGTGTGAGGAATATACACATGGGAGCAATGGGCGCAATGGCAAGATGTGAATTGAAGCATATGCTCTGTAGTTGTTCCCCGGCACATTGATTGACTACAGCGTATTTTATAAGTTAATAATAACTTCAGCGTACGATGAGGGAAGCAGGCGAGGACTGTTAGCGATGGCTGGGTTGGGGTACCGGGTGGATACCTGAAATAGAGTGAACCATTGTAGCACGGGGGAGGTACACGCCAAGTCCCTAGCGCATGCATGTCGTGCAAATGCCTGTCGACAAGCTCCTCCTTTGCAGCTGCAGACAAACAAACCAAACCAACCTCGACTCTCTCCTCTCTGCCTTTTTGCGTACGCTGGGGTTTATATCTGCCCGCTCGCTCCCCACTCTTCCTCTGCCCTTCTTCTTCTTCTTCTTCTTCTTCTTCTTCTTTTTCTTCCTGTCTACTACATCTTTGTGATATTCCCTGTGTCTTCCTCGTTCTGCTGTTGGTGGGAGTGTGGTAAGGCTTTGCTTGCTACCCATCAAAGCTTTCCCCAGTCCAGTCTGGTTTACTGGTCTTTCTCTCTTCTCCCTCCAATAGAATAAGCATCTCTTTTTCTATTATAGATTCTTGTGAATAATATCCTCCTTTCCCTTCTCATCTGGGACTCGTTGAAGGGTGAATTCCGTATTTCCCTCCAGCCTGTCCTGGCTACCGTACTCTATTTATAGACACAAGTTGCGCGCCTGAGATACCACTCTCAACGATTCGCACCCGAACCACCCCTCATGTCTGCACACCAAACAACTCCTCCTGGTCCTTCCTTAGCACCGTCGAGTGAGAATGGCAGTGTTGATGAAAACCCGGGGAATAGCAATAGCAATGGCTCCGGCTCCGGCTCCAGCTCCCCGCCGGCGCAGGACAGAGTGAGATGGAAGAAAATATTGCGAATACACACCGGCGGTGAAGATAAATCAGTTGCATCAAATGACTTCCGCCAGAAGCGGGAGAAGTGGTCTTTGGGTATCTTAAGCGATAAGGAGACTGATGAAGTACCTGGTATGTCTTGAGATCCTCGTTGTATGGGATCTCTGAAAACCTTCATCTCACATATACTAAAAACCCATTTTAATGCAGGAACCATACTTCTACTATCCTCCAACCGAAATGAACCGCTTGGGCTTCGACAACAGCCTGCGCGAACATCAGCGTCGTCTTTTCCGTCTCCCTATCCGCCTTCTCGATCGTCGTCGCGTACTCCTGCTCCCCAGAAGAAGCGAACTTCTGACGGTGCCATCGTCCTGGATCCTCAGCCAGACGATTCACTGAATGACCCGCTTAATTGGCCTGCCTGGCGCCGGGACCTTTCGCTGCTATCCTTGGGCTTTTACTCCATGATCGGAGGGGGAATGACGCCGATTCTAGCAGCTGGATACAACGATGTATCGGAAAGTTTTGGCATCACAACGCACCAGGTGGCGCTTACCACTGGCCTATATATGCTGGGACTTGGCCTTGGCTCAGTGGTGATGTCCCCTACAGCAATTCTTTACGGCAAGCGCCCAATCTATCTTCTGGGCTCTGCCCTGTTCATCGTTTCGGCGGTTTGGTGTGCTGTTTCGCCCAATTTTGTGAGCTTGCTTCTTGCACGTATCTTCCAGGGTCTTGCCGTCAGTCCGGTTGAATGCCTTCCTTCTGCTACAATCGCAGAGATTTTCTTTTTGCATGAGCGTGCATATCGTGTTGGAATTTACACTCTCCTATTACTGGGCGGCAAAAATTTGGTCCCGTTAGTTAGCGCTGCGATCACACAGGGTTTAGGTTGGCGTTGGGTATTCTGGTAGGCCTCAACTCCTCCCTCTACCTAGTTAAAGAATGCTTTAACTGACTCTTAACAGGATTGTGGCCATTACGGTTGGATTTGGGCTTGTTTTAGTGTTTTTCTTTGTCCCAGAGAGCTTCTGGGACCGGACTCCACGTCCTCGCCAAAAACGGCCTAGCTATCGCCGGAGCCTTTCTGATCTCGCGCCGGGGCGTCGAGGCCGACTTTCTAACCCTGTCACCCCTACTGTAGAAAAGGACCAGGATGCAATGCTGTCTCCTGAAGCATTATCAAAGCGACCAGATGCCCGCGTCGGCTTTGCCGAAGTCGCCCATGACGATAACGGAGGAGATGATCATAACGAGAAATGCGGTCCGAATGCCGGCGAGCACACCCCGGAAGAAGGCGGAAATGAAGGAGAGCGTCCTCATTCACAAGTTGTCCCACCAGCTGCGCTTGACGACCAAACTAGCACACCGAATAGTCCGGAGCTACAGAGTCAAACAACTGATGTTGAAGCTGCTCGTGCTGTACCTCCTCGGGACGTATCTGCCGCCCCATCCGCTTCGTCCCTTCCTCCAATCCATCCTTACACTAGCAATCTCCAGTCCAAGCCTCCTGTGGGATACGTCCACTCTCTTCGGCTCTTTCACGGCCGGTTCTCCCAAGATAAGTGGCTACGGGTCATGATCCGCCCATTTATCCTATTCGCCTACCCTGCCGTCCTGTGGTCGGCTATGGTCTACGCTCTATCCGTCGGATGGTTGATCGTCCTATCAGAAGCTGTGGCAGAAATCTATCGAGATAAGGACAGCTATAACTTTTCCGCTCTCGGTACTGGTCTTGTATATATATCCCCATTCGTAGGCGGAATTCTCGGAACGGTGGTGGCAGGCAAGGTTTCGGACATTGTAGTGCGGTTCATGACACGTCGAAATGGCGGAATTTACGAACCTGAATTTCGCCTTGTTATGGCTGTGCCAGTTACTTTGACGACGGCCATGGGACTGATGGGCTTTGGTTGGAGTGCTCAGGAAAAAGAACGATGGATCGTTCCCACTGTCTTCTTCGGTATTCTCTCCTTCGGATGTTCCGTGGGAAGTACCACATCCATTACCTTTTGCGTCGATAGCTACCGTCAGTATGCAGGCGAGGCTCTGGTTACGCTCAACTTCAGCAAAAGTAAGTTCTCTTAATTTCTTGCTCGTGGACTTCCCCTGTTACAATCACGATGACCAACATGGCCCAATGGCTAACCATTAATTCTTCCATAATAGATGTATTGCATGGCTTCATCTTTTCCTTGTTTTTCGTCCAATGGCTTAAAGCAGACGGGGCACGGGATGTCTTTGTCGCCTTGGGTGGAATTCATATTGCCTGCATGCTCACCACGATTCCAATGTATATCTACGGAAAGAGGGCTCGGATGTGGACTGTCCGCAGGCGACTGATGGAGAAATTTTAGGGGGACTCTTTATTTGAAGTTACAGACGTATATAGGTCAGGATTGCGACCTGATCAATGATTTTGTTTTTCTTTTTCCGGCGGAAGTCGTGGGGAGAAGTGTTACGCAAGTATTGTCATTAGCCGCATGCGTGCCACGGATTTTGTTTCTCTTTTCTGTTCATGGTTAACAGTATTTATGATTTTTTGGCATGTTTTAAAATTCCTATCTACAAACGTAGATAGGTAGACAGCGCTGTCTCTTTTGGTTGTTTGGTTTCCCCATTTTCCTTATTTTGCACTTAATGATGCTTTCTTTGCATATCTGCATCATATTCCAGCTCATTGATGCAATTAGATTATGATATAGGTGGATGGAGCTTTTCTTTCTATGTGTGTTCCTTACTCTGTTATCTTTTTATCTTGTTGATACATGATGCATGCATAGCTTTTTATTGACGAATGGTGGCTATTTGTTTGGTTGCTTGCTTGTTCGTTTGGTTGATTGATTGGTTGGTTGTACTGTATATCATTTTATCGCAGACTACAGACTACAGACTATACTTGCAAAGGAAGGAAGGGATGGATGAGAAGAAGGACGAAAAGAGACAAAAAAAGGTGGAGGGAGAATTTTACTGTACCATACCCATCTTGCTTATCATCTATTCATCCTTCCTGTTTCTTCTGGCTTTTAAATGAAACATTTTTACCACAAAACATACTTTCTATTCATTTTTCCAAACCTCCTTCCAAATTTTTCACATTTTTAATTTGCCAATATGTGAGCTAGATCCAACATAGCAAAAAGTTCAGTGACTGAATTTTTATCTATCTATCTATCTATATGTATATTTACTGATGTGTTTATTTTGCTTGATGAGCAATCATGAGGGGTAAATAAGTATGTAAAATGATAAATTGCCGAAAACTCGAAAAAGAAAGAAAAAAAAGAAAAATGTGATAAAAACCTAAGGATAATCTTATTTAAAAAAAGGTTTCTAGTTACCGATAACTAACAATACTGCTTTAACTTAACTTGATAGCTATGTAGCACCAGGGGGGGAATCTCTGCTAATTCATGCTGGAAGAACAGAAGGGACAAAAAAGAAAGGTCGTGATGTCATAAAAACGTCCTGCGAATAGAAACGAAGAGCAGACAGAGGATGAAAACTAGGGTGAGGAGGTGTAAACAGGCCAATCACATCCCGAATAATTTAGGATATTAAAATCAAAACCCCCGCCAAATCATTAATACCTCGCAATCAACCAATTCCACCTCTCCTCCGCGCCCATCGCGCTCAGCATTTCATGCTCCCCGCGTCGAACGCCTATGTACCGCCTGACAAAGTCGAGGCCTAGGAGGGCTTGCAGGTCGGGGTTCGCTTCGAGGGCTCTAAGGCTCTCTTCTAGCGATGAGGGCATGCGGGTTGTGATTGATAGAGCGGCGCGTTCGGAGGGTGAGAGGGTTGCGGTGTCCACTGTAATGTGTTCGAGAATGAATGGGTCAGTTTGATTCTTCTGCAATGAATGTGTGATGATGATGAAAGGGACGGGGAAAACGGAGCGAAGGATGACCTTCAATCGCGGACAAAAAAAAAAGGGGGGGAGGGGAGGATATGGGCCAAGGCTGCATATTCTATAATTGGAAGGGACTGGAAAAAATTTCATACCGTCGCACCCCTTGATTGTCAACGGCATCCTGCCCTTCATGCCTAGATATCCCGCACCAATGATCGCAGCAACTGCCAGGTAAGGATTCGCCAAGCCGTCCATGGACTTAAACTCCCAGTGGCCGGCAGATACTTCGCGGATGGGTGTTTCGCGATTCTGATATCCCCAAGCTACCCATACCCCACCCGCCCAGATCCCTTCAACAACCCGTTCGTAACTGGCATCTTGCGGTAAAGTAAAAGGTAACACTGAGGGTAAATTATGGAGTATTCCTGCTAGAAAATTGTCTCTTAGGATTGGTGGAGTAATAGAGATATGGGCGTGAGCTGCGGTGCCTGCAGCATTGGCAAAGGGGCGAGGGTGGAGCGTGGCTCGCACACCATATTGCGCAGCAATGTCGGTGATCGTTTGTCTAGCCTTGATGAGAGTATCACAGGCGGTAAGCGGGGTGGATGGAGGTAAAACAAACTCAAATTGACCGGGGGAGGATTCAGGATGGAATTGCTGAACGCGGATATCTATATCTGCCAGTTTATCGACAATCTTTTCAATCATTTGCAGCGCCTGAACATTTTCTGCGGTGAGGTTGGACCACGAATGATTGGTGAACCAACGGGAGTAGGTGGTGGAACTTCCGTCCTTTGATTGTGAAATCTTCATGAAGACCACTTCTATCTCGAAACCCACAAGTGTTTTAATGCCGTATTCACTTTGGCACCTGTTGACAATGCTTTGAAGAGTGGTTCGAGGGCAACCCTCAAGGTCACCGCCTGCCTCATTTTTCCAGAAAGTCATAACCGTCGCACTGCTTGAAGAGAGTCCGACGTTCCGGCATAGAGTAGAAACGTCAGGGGTTAGAATGAAGGAACCAGCGGTCAATGGCTCAGGGGCTACGAGTTTGTCAGTCTGCAGCATGTTCATCACAGCAAGACCGATTCCTACTCTCTGCTTTGAACGGACAATTTTACTGAATTCTCGGACTGGAAACATTCGAACACGCACGGTGGCCGTATAATCAACCCATTGCATCCATATAAAGTCCACAGACTTCTTACTAAGGAATTTTTTAAGTATGTCCTCTGGTGTGTGTGCTGACGCTGTTTGAAATAACGCTGGACCTATGTCGCAAGCTTGAAGAGAATTGGAATCGAAATGAAGGCTATCTGGGGATTGGTCGAGCCTGTAGAGTCGATTTGAGTTGAAAAATAAGATATCGCGGACAGAATCCATGGCTTTGTCATATGTGTAATCCCCATGGTGAACATATTCTGTAAAAACCTAGCGGAATAGTTATTTAACGAACATTATGCAGGGCTGTAGACCAAATTGATCCCGGGATGGGCCATTGCTTACTGTATCTAAGGCTTGCCGGAATTGCCTATTCGCAAGCCAGAATGTTTCGGGATGATAATGGCCATCCGTGCTCCAAAGGAGTTTGGTACTGGGAACCAGCTCAAGGCTCTGTCGGAGGACCGAGAGCTGAGCATCCCGGCTGGTCATGGGGAAGACCTCACCAATATCTAGATATGTGTTCGCATATATGCTCGCCAAGTAGCCTGCTTCTCGAGTGTATGGGTATGATGAATGTAGTAGCACAAAATCCACATCGGGATACTCTTCAATCAGATTCTGTAGGTGGGCAGGGTTTGACCGTAACAAGTTTATATCAGAATCTCCTAAGCCGGTGTGGAACTGGATTGGTTTTCTCAAGCTCCTTGGCCGCTTGGAGATTTGATCAAGAGCTGAAATAACAAGGTAATCATTCAATGGCTTATTCTGGATTCTGGTTTCCCCAGATTCGACGAAGGAGCGAAAGTAAGTTTCAAAGGTGGTAAATAGCTTTTCCGGGGAACTTTTCTCAATCACGAGTCCGGTTCTATAGCAGACAACAGACTTAAAACCAACAACAGCAGGATCATCCAACGCGTTATTTATAACTGTTAAAAAGCTAGCCCGGAAGGCATCCCAGAAATGTGTCAATCTCTCTGGCTCTGCCAAGGGCGGGGATGGTCGGGAAATGTTCCGGGCCTCAAGTAGTTCCCCGATTATAAGGGCAGCGGTGGCTTCAATGCGAACGATCCTTTTCGAAGCTGCATTGGTGAATTGGTCATGCCATGAGTATGCCTCCATATCTCCTGGGGGCAAGCCATCATCTATCAATAGCATATGGGTCCCCGCGAGGCACTTTCTGACCAGATCGTCATAGTCATTCTCAATCTCTTTTTCTCTTGCGGACTTTATGGCGCTTAATTCGGGGGCGCATCCAAATAGCTCTGCTAGCTGGTTGACGGCTCTGATTAGCGCGAGCGAATTGGCTGCGTGGGTTTCAAGGGATTCGCCTTGAGCTTCCGAGGTAATGGCTTCAAAAGGGTACTTGGAGTAATTGGAGGCACTGTCTGCTTTAAGGATATTGTGAGCATGGTTGTCGATAATAGGATGGTCGTAGATGAGACGGCGGAGCGCTGTTTCGCCGGCCATTTGTTATGTAGGTAGTAGTAGTAGGAAACGAGCGTGCGATTGATTATTCGATCCAGGAGTCAACAGAGAAAGAAAGTAAAGTAGAGAACACTATCTGCGCTGGCTTGCACTGATGAAGATTCCAGGAAGTATCAGAAACGTAGGAGCATGAAGAAGATGTTCGCATTTATAAACCATCCCTCGCCCGCAACGGCCGAAACACACGCGTCGTTGAGATTACTTCATGCGTCCTGCTACACGAGACACGACTGACAACTGCCGGTTGCTTCCAAGTAGCGAGGGAGCAGCGACCTAGCAAGGATTGCCGGGCCCTAATATCCATAGCACGGAGAGTAGCAGCGAGCAGCCCTTGGTCTGGGGTAATTATCTGGGGTTGAAATATATATATATATATATGTATATGTATTGAGAGAGTGTGTTGGAGGATTGAAATAGCACGCTTTCCTCAGTGCTGGCATCTCTGCGGAATTTACAGATTCCCTTTCTCAAGAGTCTAGGCTGTAAAGGATGCCGCCGGGTAGTTAGTTAACTAGTTAACTAGTTATTAGTGGATGATTGGCATGTAAGTTAACTAGTTAACTTAATGGACTCCGAAGTCACTACGAAGTAGCGCGCCCGCAGTCAAACAACGACATTTGGCGGAGGTATCAAAGTTCTTGACGCGATAAATGGTGGATTCGAACTGCTGCTTAAGCACCGGTATCTTGCCACGCTGAAGCATTTTAAAGATACCTTACTAGTGAAGCTGGAATGCTTTCCGGATCCTTCTTATATACATTTGACGGGACAGGAATTTCTCCCTGCTCCACCCATCTATCCCGGATGCCGCTCATGCATCTTAATAAACGGTTGAACAGAGCATAACTAACGTCGCCTAAACAGGACCTTATTGTATCAAGTCACTCCTCGTTCTGTCCATTGGCTGCTGCTTTGTTGATATCCTTCACGAAATCGACTAAAAGGAGACGTTATTGTCGCAGAAGCCTATCCTCTTCTTCATCTTTGCCTTGATTCGAAATATAAATACACTCTACGGAGTAACTAACTTAAAGCAAGGAGAAATCAAATTCATCATGCCTCAAAAATTGGAATACAAACAACTGGGTGACGATACTCTACAGATATAACTGCTTTTCGAAAACGTCCAAGGAACACTCCCTTTTTTATTCTCGAACTCGATAAGCTTCCCTCATCTCTTCTCTCAGTCTCTGCAAATATATTATTAACTACCCATTGGCCCGACAAATTAAGGTTCTCTCCGTTCGAAGCCTCCCGTGGACCGTCGCCACCGGGACCAACCTTATTTATTATTAGAAGCCCCGGCTGAGAACCGGAGTGTAAAATATTAAAAATACCAGATATGAAAATGACCGCTATCATACATCATAGAAGGCCCTTCACCGTCCAGCCTAGTTCGACCCATATTTCCCTTCTCCGCCCCATAACAATGTGGCAGTTCGCGCAATCTAGTGGTTATCTGTCCACTTAATGGCTGTGTTTGAAATGTGCACGAGGAGCGCATTTCTTTGATTTCAAGGGAGGTCTTTCAGGGGGACAAACACTCAGAGAAGCTTGTAACGCCATGGACAGTCTATTACCTGACTGGTAGGCCCTGGATGAAATGTAGAGGGCTGAATGGAATGTAATGGATCGGCAGACACTTCGGATACCAAAGCTCTATTATATTTTTTCTCATTCGGACAACTTAGAAAACCCATCCCTCGTAAAAGTCAATATTATACATCTCCCACTAATACTGCCCTTCCAGTGTAAAAGTGCCAGTCTTGGTGATCAAGTACTCCGCAACAGCGACGTCTTTGCCGCTTTCCTTGCCATATCCGGATTCTTTAATACCGCCGAATGGAGATTCTGCAGCGGATGAGTTACCTATTTTTCACCCAAATATTAGTAAGAGCAGGAAGATTTAACAGAAAAAAAAAAAAATAGATTAGCCAAGAAGCAAAAAGAAACACGCAAATCATACCAGTATTCAACCCAATCATACCCGCCTCCAAATTCTCGAGCATCCGCCACATACGATCGACATCCTTTGTAAACGCATAACTCGCCAACCCCATGCTCGTGTCATTCGCCCACTTCACCGCCTCCTCCTCCGTCTCAAATTTATACAGCGCCGCAATTGGCGCAAACGTCTCCTCCCGCGATATCAACATATCCGCCTTCATATCCGTGATGATGGTAGGCTCAAAGAAATAACCGCCACCGCAGTCCTTTTTCCGCCTACCGCCCAAAATAACCTTCCCGCCCAGCTTCACGGCGTCCTCAACCTGGCCCTCAGCTTTGTCGAGACTGCGTGGCGTGGTAACGGGGCCCATGGTGGTGTCAGGCTTGGCGCCATGACCCACAACGAGGGCGCTGGTGCGCTCCTTGAGCAACTGCGCGAATTTCTCGTACACGCCGCTCTGGACGTAGATGCGGTTGGCGGTAATGCAGGCCTGGCCGGCATGGCGCCATTTGAGAGACATGAGCTGGCCCAGGGCTTGCTCGAGGTTTGCGTCGTCGAAGACGATGAAGGGGCAGTTCCCGCCTAGTTCCAACGTGACCTTTTTCAGGCCCGGGGCGCAGTGGGCGGCAATTAGTTTGCCGACGCGCGTAGAGCCGGTGAATGTCACTTTCTTGACAAGTGGGTGCTTGCAGAGCGCTTCGCTGAGAGCTGGAGTGTTATCCAAGTCGGTCGTCAGGACATTGAGGACACCGGGGGGGAAGCCGGCCTTTGTGGCGAGATGGGCAATTACGAGGGTGGTGATTGGCGTTTCGGGGCTAGGTTTGATGATCATCGTGCAGCCGGCGGCGAAGGCTGCGGCGGCCTTTCGCAAGGCCATGGCAATGGGGAAGTTCCATGGGATCAATGCCGCAGCGACGCCAATGGGCTGTTTAATTGTAAATACACGCCTGTTGGCCGCTGAGGGTACGGCGATGCCGCCCTGGATTCTCTCTGCCTCGCCGGCAAACCACCATGTGAAGCCTAGAGCATAGTCGATTTCACCGTACGCTTCCGCGATCGGCTTTCCGGTCTCGTGAGTAAGGATTTTGGCGAGATCTGAACGCGCCTCGCGGATCAGGCCGTCCCATTTTATCAAGAGCTGCGCTCTGATGCGGGGGTTTACTTTTTTGAATTGTTCGAAGGCGGCGTGGGAGGATTCGACGGCTTTGGGAACATCGGCAGCGGAGTTGTTAGGACAGCTGCCCCATGGGAGGGAGGTGCCTGGGTCTGTGATGTGGACGTATGGTTAGCTAACATTTTTACGTCTTCTTCGCTGTCTCGAGGTGGAGAAGTAGTCTTAGTCTTACCAGAGACTTCGAATCGGCTACCATCTACTGCTGTAACCCATTCGTTGTTGATGAAGGAGTCGAAATGTAGCAGAGTTGGATCATCCAACTACACACATCCATGGCCACCAGCAACTCATCATCAGCAAATGCTTCTTACCAGCTCTAACAGGAGCTAGAAAAACAAAACGCCCGGTTTATAGAATCCACATACCTGGAAGGGAAGTTGATATTGCTTAGCCATGGCGGAAGCGTAGATTGATACTATGTTAACCGGAGCTGTCTGCTTCAAACGAGTTTATTTTGCCGTAAGGAGAAAGAGAGAGACTATGTGAGTGGGATAGAGAAAGATAAAGAAACGCAGAACCAAACAATTAAAGAACCAAATTATATTAAATTTCAATATTTGTAGGTCCAGCCCAGCCCCGTGTCACCTACACACAAATTTAGAATATCTTCCCATTCGCGATGTTGTGATAGGTGATAATCCCCGCCGGGATTGAGCTCGGCACTGCGGCTCCGGCACTGCGCGGGGTGGGTTGCCGAGATCGGCTCTCGCCCGCGTTCTCTCGGCTCAGAGGGAGAAAAAAGAAAAAAGAAAAGAAAAAGAAAAGAAAAGAAAAGAAAAGAAAGAAAGAAAAAGGAAAATATAAAAATATGGGCGAGCAGAATGCCGAGCTTTAGGGGGACAAAGAGAACACTGCAAGTGTGTGGGTATATGCATTTGCAACAGAGAATTCCCAACATGAGAGAAAGAAACACAGCAAGGAATCAATAAGCACTACTCCCTCTAATCACACGTCCCATAATTCATTTCCTCCCTCTTTTCACCATCACTATCTGCCGTAGGAGCCGTGATGAGCCGCCTCTCTGGCCCAGATAGGTGAATGGCCGGTCTCCGACGCCTCCACCCCCACGACGCCAACCTCGTACTCACAAAAGCGTAGGCGAAATCCGCCCCTTCCACAATCACAATGGAGATGAGGAACAGAAGTACCAGTGCACAAACGATAAATGTCGCCACCCAGGCGGGCCTCTCAGATACCCAGATGATGAGCTCATCGATGGTATCCATCATTTTGAGTACAGTGAAGAGGTTGGTATCATGGTTATTTGCTGTCGCTGTCATTGTTGCTTGTGGCGATGTTGCGAGGTAAAGGGTAGGGAGTGATGATGATGATGCGATGCTTGAGATTGCGAGTGCTGGAATATTCGAGATGATAGGAGGTTTGATATCGGACACTGCGCTGATCGGGAAGTGTGTAAGGGATTCCTTTGTGAATCCTGCGGATGTCAATGTTACCTGGGAGCTGGAGGTAGGACTCGCGCTGTCCCCGAATCGATGCGCCTGATATGTAAGAGAGGTGGTTGGCAATGGTTTGTCGTGGATCGTTGAGTACGGTTCAGGTGATAATGAAGACGATTGGTCTGGATACCCGATGTCGATCAGCTCTTGTATGGACTGTATCAGGCCATCAGCAGCTGGCCACTTTTCGTTAAGCCAGAGGATGATTTTTCGCAGTTCCTTGTCGGATATGTGGTTTAGGTTTAGATCTCTGAGTAGTTTGAGCTGGCGTGTACTAAGTGCCCGCTGCGAAGAAGTGATGCTGAGTTGTCGGCTACCTGTCAAAACAACAGACTGGGTTTGATATGATGAAGTGTGTGAAGAGGAATTGTCGAGGTCAGTGTCTGCCCTGGGGATACCGATACTTGATCGCCGGGGCCGTATATTGGGCGAGGCGGGGGCGGCAAGGGCGGCGTGCACAAGTAATAGAGACTGAAGGAGGGAGATTGGTTTCATCTCATACATATATATATATATATATGTACAGTACGTTTTTCTCGTCCTCCAAGTCTCACGTCGTTTGATCTATCACCAACGGGATTGGTGTGGAGATTGCTCCAACAAAGTCAAATCCACCCAAACAGATCTGCAGCTCCGGTGATGGAGACCTGCGTTCTCCTTTTCGTCCTTGTTTTGCACCGTCTCCGTCTTTATTATGGTTTTTCTGTGGCTTTCCCCCCTTCCCTCTCTCAGCTCAAGAGACTTCTTCAAGTGATGTCAACTAGCTTGGAAACCTAGGCAACATTGAGATGCAGAAACGGGAACAACAAGTACCACTCGAGTCAGATCACGCAGGGGATGGAATGAGAAATACAATTTACCACCAACGGCTGCGACAGCCCAGTAGGCACAAATGGGAAACCTGTTATTCAAACATCTTCAAACAAACAAAAAATGTGATGAATAGATCAGCACTCGATGCGAGCTGGTAACATTATTGTGCAGGGCAACAATATCTCTCGGCAGGGAAATAGGAGCGGAAGCAGACCCAATCGCTGGGGGCGAGGGACATATACCTAAGGTATATATATATACAACTCTAAATTCCCACCTTGGTCGTATAACTATATGTGTTCTGCGTATCGTACTATATATGTAACATGTAAAAGCGTAGGCCTGTAACGGAGTATTGTTCGGACACATATTACCACCCATTGGATATCCCGTGTCCTATACCGTACTTCGCACAGTTCCCAATATCAGCTTTTTTTTTGAATGAACCATTCGGGAACAGGAACAGGAACCGGAAACATCCGTCCATGGATTCCTGGGCCATTGGTCGCGTTTTAGTGGGCCATGTGCGTTGACAAACCATTTCTGCTGGTTAACTTGATTAGCTGGAAGCTAAAATAAGAGGCGGAACTGGAGAGCTTTCTTCGATTGAACTGAACATGGGAAAATACTTCTTCTCATTGGCTGCGGTGTTTGAAAATTACGACCCACCGTCGATTCCTTGAGACAGAGACCTCTGTCATGTCTTTGTCTTTTTATACTCTCCTACAGAGCAAAGTTTTCGTCTCTTCGCCAGATTTCCGCTGGTTATATCCGGACAGTCTATGCGAGCGCAAAAAGAGACTCAGGCCCACGATCCAGGTGGGAATTACCCACTCCTCTGCTACGAACTACAACATGATACAATATCAGGAGAAATAGTATCTAGCGAAACCAGCAGCAATGTTCATCCTTGCAAGAAATCTCGCTCTGTTCCATGCGACAAGACCGTCTCGCGGAAATTCCCCCAGTTTTCCGCCTAAAAGCCCGTCTTTCCACGGCTATATTTAGCCTTTGTGGGGGAACATAACATAATCAACCACCTAATGTATAGGATAGTTGAAGGTTGTATTGATAGATCTATCTACAAGAACATAATATAGTGGTGTGTCACGTGATCTAGTGGGATTGCTAACCGCAACAGCCTTATCTCAGCGGGCTCAGACCTCTGGCTCGGTTTGAACGGGTTGCAGCATTATTATTAACTAGTTAATCCGGCATGACACTAACCTACTTTTGATACAAGTCATGTGCTCAGAGCAATCCTCACCAGAGAGTCTGAGAAGAAATGGTTCCATCTTCAATGAAGATTTCTGAGATTTACAAGGATTTTTCAGATTCTTTAACTTTGACTTTCTATTACTATATATCCACATATCTTTGAGATTTGAAAATCACCTTAGCTTATAGCTAAAGAGAAGAAGAATAGAAATATTTCTTTAATATTTTAAAAAAATCTATATTTAAGATAGATATATCATATATACTCTTGAAAATGATTATATTTTTTGATCTCAGAATTTCTAAAAGCTTTTTTTTATATGAGAAATTGAATCAAAATTCCTGTGTTTAAAAACACACTAGTCAACTTTGAGATGATACTTCTATTCTAAGAACTTAAGATATGAATATAAAAATCAGATATATTATAAGAATATTGTTATTCTAAGATTTTAAGATAATACAGAAATGATGAATTTATAAAGTTAAGTTGAAATTCTCTTTCATACTTAGAGTACTGAGTAAATTCTTCTTATATTATTAATAATCAGAAACTGTTTCTTCTCAGATACTTTGTAAGATATTATCACTTATATGATCTGATTTTACTATTTGAGTTAGCTTATTACTTATTTGAGATTAGCTCATGATATAATTATTAATTCAGTATTAAAACAGTAATGAATATCTGAAGAAGTGTCTGAGCTTATTGAGATAAGTAATAGCTGTAAGTTGTAACAGTCAACACTCTCTCTTAAGATAATAAGAATTATATATAAAAACACTCAAATCATCAAGATAGTCTGTCAAAATTAAATATAAATGTAAAATTAAACATTCTCAACTTTTATACCTGTAAAATCTAGTAAAATCATGAATTATATAAATATCACAGTGTCTAGAGATTTAGTAAGTTCATTTATTATTATCTAAGTTAATTATAATTATTTAATTTAAACTCTGAGCTCTGTATTATCTGAAATAGTGACTCTTAACTGATAAAAACTATATATAATCTTATCTCTGAAAAGAGAGAGCTAATATAACAAGCTACACTTAATCAATTATATAGATTATTTTATTACACTTTATAGATTCTACTGAAAGCTTTAATTCTCAGTTATCAATTCTTGACTGAAAAACTTATGAAATTTCTATTCTTTCATTCTGAAGCTTTATTATATATATAAAATCTCTATTCTTTCACTCTGAAGCTTCATTATATACATATATAAATAATCACTTTAATCACTGATTTCTGCACTTTCTCTTTTTTCCTTCTCTAACATTTTTCACTTTGTTATATAAGATCTATAAATATCATATCAATCTATTCAGCGTAGGCCTCTTACAAGAATCATGACACTCAGTTAACTCTCACAGACAATTTTAGAATCTCAACAATGAGATTATGAAGAATTTGAGACATACAAGAGAAATCACAATCTGTCAATCAATTGATATGAAAAAGAAGCTGTTCTTCTTGCAAATTTGAAAGATTTTGACAGTGAATAGAGATTGCTTTCTTTCTTGATATTTAGAGGTTATTATAGCACTGTGACAATGTATGATAACTGATTCCATATTTTTTTGCAGTTGTAGACTTGTAGTGCAATTAGGAGTCATTCGAATCATCAATCACTGCTTGTATAGCTGATTCGTGGTCCATGTTGTGGGTGTTTGAACATGGAGATTGAGGTAAGATTTGTGCGAGCGTTAGGTGTAAACGAGCGTTAGGTGGTTGATTACGTTACGTATGCTCATGCGCTTAGCGCTCCGGCAGCTCTTCGAAGGCTAGAAAGATTACATGATCACAGACAGAAAATGAGCGTTCCCCCCGCCATCGCAGCACGATGTTGTCGCAAGAGATGGAATGGTTGACGTTGTTCTGGGCGTTAGCTCCGTATCCTCTCGCTTCTTGGAGTGGAACTTCTGGAAGGGGACGCGTATCACCGACCAAACCACATCCGGCAAATGGTGGAGGTCCAAATCGTTGTCTGATGAGTTGGCTTAACAGAACAGACACGGATGGATGATAGATAGGTTGACTTCGAGCACCCTTTCTCGTATGGGGGAAGAATAGACAAGGAACGAAAGACCAGCATAGGATACTCATGATTCTATTTCTAGCTCTTGCGCCACGACGGTTGCGGCTTCAAACCGGCCAATTGCGAGCTCACCTCCGGAGGGAACTTGCGCTGGTATGACCCTCAATTTTCGGTAGTTCCACCCTAATATTTTAGTGGAATTCTAACCATCAATCCGGTCCGGGGTGGGCGCGTTCTCAATCATCCCCATACAAATAGAAGATTCTTCTTCTCTTCATTCTCGTACGCGCTATTATTATTTATTATTCTCTATCAAGATGGACCTCCTTGCTGCTCTTGAACCTCTAATTGCACCTCCAGAAGATCCGGAACCTCCTGCTACACCTCCAAAGCAATTAACCTGTGATCAATGTTGAGATATTCTTCTTCTTCACAGTCTTGGTTGGACTTATGAAAAGGATCTCCAATCACCTTGAGATTACCTATTGAGGGGTTCAATACAGATGCAATCTGGGTACAGCTACTCCTCAGAAGCATACTGGCCGCCCTATTCTCTGGATTTGAACCCAATTGAGACTGTATGGAATCATATGAAGCTGTGGATACAGGAGACCCATGGGGGATGAGGAGAATCTGTCTTATGATGGATGCACTTCAAGGAGTGGTTAGAGCTGCCTGGGATGCTATAAGAGAGGAGCAGCTATGGGAGCTTATAGCAGAGATGCCAGCTCACTGTCAGATAGTTATACAGGCAGGTGGTGGCTATACTAGATATTAATATGATTATTGGTTCCTCTATGGATTATTCTATAATAATAATGAGAACGCGCTCAACGCGAGAATGCCACGTATACCCCCCCCCCAGAATGATGGTTAGAATGCCACTAAAATATTATGGTGGAACTACCGAAAATACCGGGGCATTATCGTAGTATTATAGAGTCAGATTTAGTTACATAATATGTGCATCCTGTTGAATTTTGTGGGCGTAACTCATTGCAGCAAAAGATTCTTTCCGCAGCACTTTACCGAGTAATTGCTCCTCTATCAACTTGCGGCAGAGCACAAACGCTTCTTCAAGAGATTTTTCGATCTTAAATTCGAAGGGAATCACCGCATTGCTGTTGATGGTGGAATATAAATATATTAATTCACAAATCTCCAATCGTCAAGCCCCGAAAGCAAGCGCTTGCCCGTCTACCCGCACTCAATCCGTAAGAAATGCAGGTTAAAGCGTTGGGAAGACATAATTTTTAATGATGACGAGGGATAATTAATCGAGCAGGTCTGTGAAATTAAATATATTACACTCTAACTTATTAGTAAATCTTTTTAGAGGCGAGTGTCGAGGAGATATATATACATACATATATGTACACGACATCAAATGAATACAACATATACGATCTAGATGTCTATGAGAATGGGGTAGAGAGGAAGAGGATTCCCCGGCTCTCCCAGCATATTAACCCGTCCAGGTTACACTTCTGCCCCCCCCCCCCCCGGAGTCGAGGCAGTATATATCCAAAAATACAGCCCCTTTGATAGAGAGGGGAAGACCCTCGGTTCGAGGAAAGGGGATGAAAAAAAAAAGAAGAAAGCACGAGATCACAGCGCATCTTTCGCCAACACCACTTCTCCCAGCGGTACCGCTTTGGGCCCAACGTAATTCCCCTTTCTGAACAGCCACCATATCGCAACGAAAATCGTCAATCCCCACGTAATCAGCGAAGTATAATTCATATCCTGCGCCGTGACCGGCAGCGCGAACGGAAACGAGAATATCACAATGAACGCCATCATGTACAGACATGCAACTGTGTTGACAATGTACCCAATCCAGCCGTGCATGAAGAAATAGCCGGGCCGGACCGTAGAGCGCCCGCCCAGTAGGTGTGGCAGGATCGCAGCGGTGTATGACAGCGACGAAAGCTGCACGAACGAGCCGACGAGCGCACTAAATGCCGTTGACGAGCCTACATAGATGCAGCCCATGACCGTCACGATGCAGCCGCAGACGAAGGTAGCGTTTAAAGGGTTGTGGAAGGTGCCACTGACGCGTGACGTCCAGCCGCTGAATGGGGTTGCGTTGTCGCGGGCCAGGGTCCAGAGCGTGCGCCCGGCGGTGATGTAGCAGCCGATGCAGGTGATGAAGGTGGGCAGGAAGACGACGATGAGGAGGCCGAGGGCACCGCCGCTGGAGCCGGTGGCTTGTCGGTAGATTTCAGCTAGGGGGAAGGTGGATTTGTTCTCGAGGATGGCAGGGAGGTCATTGATGGAGTAGAGGAGGGCTACCATGTAGGTTACGGCAGTGATAAAACCCGTAATCATTTGAGCCAAGACGGCTTTGGGGATGTTGCGACTTGGTCTAGTGAGTTGGAGGGTTTGATTAGTACGCTATAGCTAAGACACATCCAGTTGTCTCTAATAACAGAGAGATTCGTACCTGGGGATCTCCTCTGCAACATGGCTCGTGATGTCTGGGTTGCCGACGGAGTACGCACCATTAAGCATGCCGGCGACAAAGACGAAACCATTGCTAGAATAACCGGTTTGGTTCTCCCAGTCCTTCCAGACAAAGGCGTTCGAGGCATATCCGGTCCCATTCACGTGGGGCATAATGGCGCAGACCAGAATCGTAACAATGACACCGCCGATGATAAGGAACATGCCCACATTACTGGTGGCCGGCAATGCTTTGTTGGCGAACATCACAATGCAGCAGCACAACCACGAGCAGATGAGATAGCTGACAAACACATGCCATACCTGTGGTTCCAACTCCGGATGGAAGAGCATGTACATTGACACGGTCTGATTGGCAAGAATTGAAGCTATGGAGGCAGCACCAAATACCCAGGCGAAAAAGTTCCAATAGCCAGCGAGCCAGCCTACGGGGCGACCATATCGCCCTGCTGTTACACTCGCCCAGTGATAGACTATGATCCAATGTCTAGTTAGCTGCGAACTCGCATGATTCCCCATTGATGGTCTGCATCGGAGCACGGCTTACCTCCCGCCGCTGATGGCATCGCGGAAGCCAATTCAGCAATGGACGCTGCAACAAACCAGTAACATATTGCGACGGCAATGCTACAGTAGATCCCCGTATTAGAAAATGTCAAGTATATGGAGAGTTCTTGCATACGGGGTGACTGAAAACTCACAATTCGTAAATAACACCAGGCGGTCCACCGTTGTAAATAGCGACAGTCTATTACGGCAACGAGAAGGTCAGAACTTATACGCGTTCCTCTAAGAATCATTCCTATGCTTCTCTTTCTTCTTCTTCTTCTTCTTCTTCTTCTTCTTCTTCTTCTTCTTCTTCTTCTTCTTCTTCTTCTTCTTCTTCTTCTTCTTCTTCTCCAGTGTACGAGGGTTATAACAACATACGAGACTGCCGCCCATTGCGGTCCATGAGTTTCCTGTGGTGATCGCAATGGCACAAATGCTTAACAGGCTGAAGTTGCGGTGCAGCTCCTGTTTGTGCCCTGAGGCGTTAACCACTTCGGGGCTTGAGGACGGTTTTGCCTCACTGGAATTAGTGGAGAGTACTCCGTCTTGACTTTGGCCGTCTAATGGATGAACATCCATCTCAACCAAATTCTCCTTGGCCATGATTCTTGACGGCCGTTAGGTGCTGGTCCGATGTTGGGTGAGTATAAAATTTCGGACCTGGGGGAAAGAAATATTAATAAGGTAAACTTCCCGCAGTCATTGTAACACACAAAAAGGGCAAAAGTTGACCCGCGAGTAGATGTGTAGCAGAGCACTAAAAAAATGACCAAGGGAGAGCAAAGGCAAAAAAAGTGAAAAAAAAAAAAAAAAAAAAAAAAAAAAAAAGAACTAGACAAGCGCGTAAGAAGACTGTTTAATAATAATAGTGAAGACGGACTCCTAACGGTCGGGGCTGGCTGGTTTTGTTTCTCTTCGTCCGAGATTCGATTGTTATCCCGAATCCTCCAAGAACACCGCACAGAAAAGCCCAGACTTGTAGAACTACGAGGGGAGGGGGAAGAAGAAGCAAACAAGGGCGGGGCATTATTGGCAGCTTCAGGCAAGGAGCAGAAAATGAAAAAAATAAAATAATCAACTACTCTAGGATGGGAATACAGTCAGGGGACATGGCTGGGCTGGTTGGTGGAGCTGAGCTGAGCTGAGCTGAGCATGTAACAGACTTCCACCGCGTGCATTCATGTCCATAAGATGAGGAGAGGAGGACAAGACAAGGAGGATGGGTTAAAGTTGCATGGCGAGCTGGGGACATCCCTACATCCCTACATCCCTACATCCCTACTAGTTGGTTGGGCCGTCGAAGAAATCGAAGATCTCGCCAGTAGTAAAGTTAACTAGTTAACTTAGCCCTGTTCTCTGCTGCGGATAACGACATCGGTAACTACGGACTAAACTCCGTACTAGTCGAAGAATACGGAACGTTCGGTAGAAGAATAAATAATAATATGTATATATGGCTGGCCGGAGGGAGCTCGATACGATACGGCTCCCGCATTCTTCGGATTCGAGAGCAAGCCGGAAATAAGTTAGTTAACTACTCTTCTCTCTTCTCACTTCCTCTTCTCATAATCGGCCTTAGGACACTGATAAGTTATTATCAACTTAAGTATTAACTTAACGTTAGCGGCGGCAAGGGGAGAAGAGGCGAACGAGGTCTGTTCGAATTCCACAGTTCTTCCGCTAAATATGTAACTTTTTTGACACCACGATGGCCATGGTGAGGATCATGGCTTGAAACCCAGCTCCAATTTCTTCTTCTTCTTCTTCTTCTTCTTCTTATTATTCTTCTTCTGCTGTTTTTGGAGATAGCACAGAGTTAACAACAAATAACTTAAATAAGTCTTTTCAGCAAGGATCATGCCCATCGATTGGCCGGTTTCCAAAAATCTAAAATTTTGAAATAGAAAAGCAATTTGATCTCATTTACCACTGTAACAAAGACGGAGGATTAGATTGGTAACAACAATTGATAGCCAAAAATGAATGGCCCAAGATCCGAGAATGAGTTGGCGCCCTGCAAGCAGCACGACGGGCTAAGATGAAGATATTTATTTTGTTTTCCTGAAGAAGCGTCGCATCATTGGATGGAGCGCGGTTTCAGCGTATTTCTTCATGTCCAATGTCGAAGGGGCAAGGTACTGTACGTACTGTAGACATCCCAAAGGTTCTGTGGTGTTTTCTATCCGCGGTAGCAAATAACTGATGCAGGAAAATGTTGCAGTCAAGGCTGGATGGAAGTAGTTAAGGTTATACAATATTAACGCGCACATTTTCATCCCCTCCAACAATTTCCCATCCTGACATTGTCCCTTGACCATGACTTGACTGCCATTTGTTTTCGTCAAGAAGAAATATGATAAGGTGAATGAAACCCACGAAAAGTTCCTCAAGCAGCCAGTAAGTTTACCCACTGTACTGTGCCACTTGCTACCGATTAAGTATAGTTAACTTCACCATTAGTTATTGGCGAAACATAGGAAGTTAAAAGTGAAGCCAAGGAGCCACCAACCCGGGCCCCATACGCGCAAACTACTGTACAGTACCGACGCCATTTTTAGTTCACATGCGAAGAATTGTGCCTTCTCGCCAGGAAGTTTTCTAATGAATCCATCAGAACCATGTTATGTTGCTGTGACTTCACCAGACTCAGCATCCAGGAACTGCCAGGGACTACTACTGTCATGGAAGTGCGGGCGGATGTTGTTGGCCCATGAGGGGATCGGAGCCGTGTGAGCGACCGAGGGGGGATTAAGTGTGGCTTCCCCCGCTTAGTTATTCCAGCCATCGCCCCTCGGCACTGGCTGACGGTCACAGAGGAAAAAAAACATGATGCTCCGGATCAGATCTTTTGCTTGGAATAACACGCATGCCAAGGGGAGATTGACATGGATCGATCTGCGCAAAGAGTCCAACCGGCCACAAACCTCTCATCAATGCTCTCTCTCACGCGCGATCTGCTCTTCCCTAGCCCGACCATCGACACAAATCGATCGGCCTCCCTCCCCCCAGATGTCCCATCTCGCTGGCGATCTGTTAGCAGCGTTCTTGGGATTTCATTTCATTTTTCTTTTTCATGTTCCCCACAAACCATGTGGAATGGAGGATAAATCTCAAAGCCGACCATGAAAGACATCCTGCATCCGGACTTTTTCTCAAACAAAATCACCCACAGCCAGCCAGCTGCCGAGCTCCAGTTACCCGACTCGGCTGCTGGCTTTAAGCGAGGTTTCAAGCTTCATTATTAATAACTCTTGGTACTAACTATGGCTGTTCTCCTCCGGCCTCTAGCTTGATTTCCATTGGTTAATGCACTTCCAGATTCCCATCCAGGCCCTTGTGGAGAGGGGATGAAGAAGAAGGCCAAATCAGAGAGAAGAGTCTCAGCTCGGAGTTTGGCGTTGCGTCGCGCGGAAAAGGGGTTCCCTGGGTTCCAATTCTTAAACCTGCAACCGGACTCAGTCGAAGTATCGCAGTCACAGCCCTTTGGAGGCCAGCCCGCCCTGCTGCCCCTGTCCCCAAAATCCTCCATCCCCGGCTGGAAAGTGACAATCTCCAGGGATCTTGGATTTCAGTAATTTGGTTATTATGAATTTGACTGCTACTGATATTTTTTTTTCTCCCACGATGTCCTTCTCTTGTATCTTTCGAGAGAAAACCGGGTCTAATGGGCAGCCATAAGTAGGTTTGACTTGTCCACCTTTCTAGGTGTGGAGCATATCTCCCTCTCATTTTTACTACCGGATAGGCCAATTATATGTTCCAAGGTCCCCCCCATCTGGCGCCATCGCTGGGCCCCTCTTTCTTGATATGCCAGGATCAACATGAACAGTGTACTCCGTAGACGATCAGACGTGTTAGTCACCGCATGTGGCAAGGCGTTTGGGAAGCACTCAAATAATTACTGTTGCCCACCCTCTTCATTGCGTTCTCCTTCCTTCTTTAGCAGCCTGCATACATAAGTCGATTTTTTTCTAGACTAAAATAACAGGGAGTATTTTCGGATTACAAGGAACCAAACTGAAGGGAAAGAGGTCCATCCAGCCCATGGCACTGGGTGCATTTAATCGGATTTCTCTTAAACCCTGGATCCTCGCCGTGATTCTCTCCTCTTGCCTTTCTACCCCTTGGTACTTTCGATGAAGGCAGAAACTTGGTTGATTATACCCTTTTTGAGTGAGAAACTGGTCCCTCTCGGAAAGCATATCAAGCTTATAAGGAGTTTGAAATCCAAAAAGCCAGAGAAAGTGGGCGAAGATGTCTTTATCGGACCCCGAATTTGTTCAAAACTTCAAGACTGAGACATGGACACTATATGGCGTGGGCATGCTTGCTATTGCCTGTCGGGGGTAAGTAGTGCTATTCCATACTGCAGTGCACTACGTCTGCCTCCATATCGAGTAAATATAACGTTTCCGATGCTAATATTATGACAGCGTTGCCCGCGTAAAGCGACTTGGATTTGGCGGCTTGCAATTAGACGACTACCTCATGCTCACAGTTGTCTTTTGGTTTACTCTTCTATGCGTTTCGATAAACCAAGTCATTAGTGGCGGAGGCTCCAACCTGTTATCCGAAGAAGAAATATTGGCACTCACTCCTGAGACGACGGCGGCGCGTATCAGTGGGAGTAAATGGGTATATGTCTCTGAACACATGATGGTCCTCACCATCTGGACCATGAAGTTTTGCATGTTAATAATATATGGGCGTATCACGTAAGGGAACCACTTCCTTAACTGGGTATGGGTTTCTGCGCAAAATCCCAAGCAAAACCCGTTAAGTGCCGCTAGCTTTGCTAATGTGTAATTTGAATAGGAACGGATTGCGCCACCGAAAATTGGTTAACTACTGTGCCATATACACTGCAGGGTCATTCGTCGGAAGTGAACTTGCGCTTTTTCTCATATGTCGACCGATCACGGATCACTGGGCGGTGCCCACACCAAACTGTTCGTGCTTGATAGAAGCTGCTCCTTTCCCTTTTTTGGCGGGGAGTGAACGCTAACTTAAATACAGACCAGTGCTCGTCCTACCAGTATTACGAAATTGTCAACGGTTGCATAGGCATCACCGGCGACATATTTATGCTTCTCGTAGGCATCCCGCTCCTCATGTCTGTCCGCCTACCGCTGAAACAGAAAGCCATCCTGCTTCTCATCTTCGGGCTCGGCATATTCGTCATCATAGCCGCCCTCCTCACCAAAATATACTGCCTCGTTCCCTCGTTGATCTCCTACGTTTATTTGAACTGGTACTTCCGAGAGGCCACTGTTGCAGTGCTCGTGACAAATCTACCTCTCACTTGGTCTTTGCTGCGCGACATTTTCCCCGCACTCAAGAATTGGTCCAGTGGAGGATCGGGTCCAACAGGTCGCCTTGGAGCATCACTATCTGCACCAGGGCGCTCGTCACGAGGAGCACTTCAGTCTATGGATTACAACCTACAATCCTTCACCCGATTGACATCAACAGTCGACACAGGAAAGTCCGCCATGAATGGAAAAGGCCATCACAGCCCTACCGCAATTAGCAGTGATGACGACAATTCGGTGCGTTCGTTGCATATCAGACAGGATGTTACCATCACAGTGCAGTCGGAAGACGCGCGGGATGGAAGCGATATAGGAGGGGAACACCATCAAAATCTTAATGACAGCCCGCCATTCCAACCGATTACCCGACCTACACGGCCGGCACAAGCTTTCCCCTATGGTCAATGGGACACATCGCATAAAATATCCAGCGATGAAGTTGGCCATCCAAATATGAAGAGCTAAGCCTGCAGAATATTTTATATGAGGGAATGGGCAAATTTTGTAACGAGCCTGGGAGTTTTTGGCGTTTTGATCCTAACTGTACCTGTACTAATTCCATCTTGGGCACCGCGAGGATTTGCATGTGGCATTTGGCCATTTGTCCATTTGTCTACTTTTTCACAGGGAGGTGTAGAAAGGCATATAGACATTTGATGTTTGTTGCTTGCTTAGAATTAGGTGTCTGCATATTGTCTGTAGTTCTTATAGCTGGTGGCATTTGATCAGCTCTAGTTCAGTGTATACAGTATAGAAATGTAAATATAGATTGCTTTATATCTCAGTCTGTTTGTCTAAACCACCCGCTCAGTGAGGGATCCATTGTTAACAGCACATCCCTAAAACAGGGCTTTTTGTTTATCAAAAGATATATATATACAGTCACGGAACAGCTTTAGATGATGATAAAGTCAGCATTCTTTTCTTCTAAAAGTGAAATGATCCGGAGTAGTTAACTGTTCAACGTTTGTAAAAGATACTCGTGCGACTGATTTGAAATCTAGAATTCATATATTATTTATATGTGTCACTAGCTAAATATAGACTTGATTCTAGAGTTATTCTAAGATGAGGCTAACTATATGTCTGCACCAAAATGCATTGCAATCAATTAAGGTGTTCTGATGATTCCGCAGAACCAAATAATACGATGTTTCAGCAGCCATCTGGAACAGTTTGCCAATGCCAATGCCTCTATTTACCTGGAATTGACCATTTGAGTAGCTAAATACCGAGTTATAGGTATGAACACGTAGAGTATAATCTTCCAGGTCATATATCTGGCAGCGTAGAAATGGCCAGTGTCTTTATGCCATGTTTGAAGGGCCAGGCGGACATATCTAGAGAACTTGTTTTGTGAAATAGAGGAGCATCTCATTTTTTTAAGATGAGGGACTTCGTTCTGAAGATTGAATTTTTCTAGTGCATTGGTTTGCCCTCGTGTTTGGCGTTGTATGTTTAGCATCAATCCTTCTCACATCCCCTGCAAATCGCACTGAAGGAATATAACTGGAACAGGAGCTGGGTATCTAGCCGCCCAGACGTTGACTCCCTTTCGTCCAGTCATCATAGATATCTACAAACACTCACAGTGGTGCCTGTGTGATAATGGTAGCGGATAACAGCCTGAGATCTTATTTTCCGGAATCGGGAACCCACTTCGAGGTCTTGGAATATGCATATGACTTCTGTCTGGAGGTGGTAGGCAGGATTGTGGCTGGCTTGAATAGCTGTAAAGGTGCTTGCGGATCTCAAATGGCAATAACCTGTCGATATTTACTCCAATCAGCCGGTAGGTGGTTGAAACATCGAGGTGCCAATGGCTCGCGCTTAGTGAGCCCTCCCTGAACACCTGATCCATGATTGTTTTGCATGGAACCAAGATTCTCAAGGGTTATGTATGTTCATGGATATCGTTATGAAGGGCTTCGAAGAGAGCAGCTTGGGGGCTTTTAGGAATGTGCTTCAAGATGCTCTTGAGAATAACCTCTATCAGAGCACGATGACAGCATCCCCTTGGATTCTTCCCCCTCGTCAAGGCCTTCAGCCTTTACCACACAGATGTGCTGTTTTGCGGACTGGGCCGATAAACTAGCTGCAAGGCAAAGAACGGGGTGTTGTGTTGTCCAGCACAGATTTAAGAGATCAATAGGGAATATAAATGCATAATACTGACAACAGCTGCGAAAGCCGGAATTCTGAGAGCCCACTCAGACGTTCCCTATATCCACTTCATGCCGATGCATACGGAGTATGGAATCTTAGTCTTTTCATATCACAAGGCCTTGGACTGGGATTGATGTGCCCTCAGGGTCAGCCTGTTGCGCATCTTCTTCGGGTTCTGTATAGAAGATCTGCCAGTAGTCTTCACAATAGCATATTTTCTGCCTGAATTTCTTTGCCTGTCAGGTTTATATCCCGCCCATTTGGTGGCTCTGAAAGACTACTCCGAACTTCCCATGTGTTTGTCTTGTTTGCTTCGGAGATCGTGTACTAAATTGGCGTGCAGAGCGATCTCGATTAACGTACGTTATCTAAAAAGATCCGATGCCAGATGACAAGAAGGAAGATCACTCTGCATGGAAGATCTCCAGCGAGGGGTTCCGTACGGGAACGGGATCAGCAATCCAGCCCTCCAATGCCAGGATATATATCAAGTCCTCTGTAAGTGATCATTTCTTGACTTTGCCAATTTCTGAAGCGCATGTCCAAGCCGTTGAAGTCTGGCGCACATTAATTTCCGATGGAGCATTTTCAGGGCACAAGTTGGCGGGGAGACTGCTCCTTTGTTAGTGAAATTTCAGAGTTTTGGGTTGTTGATTCATGTATATATTCCTAGGTGTGGTAGTAGTATGTTTTATAATCTATGACGACTCTGTGGGATTAACGAGAGTGGAAATTAGTTCTATGGATGCAACCGTCGTGGAACATAGTTGGAGCAACCGAATATGTCTGTATCGATTAGTTACGAAGTACGGAGTATACGCCCATCACAATATCCGCCAAAACCTCCATTTCTGGAGCCACTGACAACTATGGAGCGGGTGATGAATGAAACTTGGGTTAAGACAAGACTTGAGAGCTTTTATTCTCCTCATAGGAATCCCTAACTAAAAGAGTAGCAACAACAAAAGTTGTAATACAACACCACCCCATCACCACTCGATCAAAGTCGACTCAGCCTAGAATCGAGTCGATCGCTGTTAGCTTGCAATAACCGAGATTTGCGTTATGATTTGGAAAAAGTACTGAGAAAACAGGGATGGATCCACAGGTTGGGTACTTTGTAAGGCAGCAAGCGGAGCCTTTGATGGAATAACCTTCTTTAGGGCCCATTTCGCATGGCGCTGGGGATGCACTGGGATATCTCCCGCCATGATAGCAAAAATATATTTTAAACAGAGAAGAAGAGGAAGAGGGAAAAAGAAAAGCAGTCCATATGAATAATATAATACCCTTCAAAAAAGACCAGATGATTTGCTATACTCGTCGAAACGGACCTTCATTCACGGCAGGCAGTTGGGATTTATGCAATCCCGTGTCACTATTTTTGAACTCCGGATGCCGATTCCTTAACTCCGGTCAACGACCAATGGCGTCGCCGTGCCTTGATTTTCTAGTGTGGGGGATGCCCCGTTTTAAGCCTCAAAAGGCTTTTCTTACTATGCTGGAGGAAGGGAAGGGTTTGCTTGATGTCGGCGCTTTGAAAGGGGTTTCGCCGTGTTATGGAGGCTGACTAGGCCGTGTGAGTCAGGGCATAAAATCATCCAAAATTCGCCCGGAGGGTCCCAATTTGCTACAGGGGATAGGCCATAAGAATTAATGTACTCCGTACGTATCGTAGAATGGGTAGGTCTGGAAGTTTGCCCTGAGAGGAAGAAAGGACCATCTACGTTGTTGGGATCAGCGCCTTTTCAAGTAAAACAGCCAGCCTGTCGATCAAATTCTTAAATCAACCTCCAGCGTGCGTTCAACTAACTTACAGCGTAACTGCCCACAACTGCATTCTTTGGTTTCTTCGTGAGGGGCGAACTCTGGGCTCTGGAGTCCAGTCCAGTCCCATCAGGGTGGCATTGTTCCTGGCCACTTTTGCTCCGACACCTAATCATAATGGCTCACGCTACTTCTTCTTAGCTGTTTGTTGACAATGACACCCAGGTCCACTCAATCCACGAAGAAATTGCTTCTGGGCCTGGAAAAATCAGTCCTTGGGCTGTCACTGGCTGATAACCATCCAAGGAACTTGGAAGGCTCATAGCGGCTCCAATTCTCCCCATGGTCCAAGGAAGCTAGAGTCAAGTTGAGAAAATTGAGGGGAGTTTCTGAGCCTCAATAATGACTTTTATTTGGCCTTTTGAAGGCACCACTCCACTGTCGACCTTCCTGTGCTCCGCCCTCTATGAAAATGCTGGCTAAGCCCATCTAGGATGCTGGAGCTTCTTCAATTGCCAGCAGGGAATTCATTATAGATTATTACCCTCATGAAGGAAGTGAACATGGCCAGAAAAACGAAAACCGGCTCTTCCAAGCACTCAAATCTACTCTCTGATGCCCTCCCAAGGGTGAATGAAGGGTTAGTCTCAGACCTGAAGCCGCGAACTTTCATAGGATAGAGGCGATTCGGGTTCATTATTTTGACAGGGCTCTCCGAATGTCATTTGAGAGACGTATCTGATAAAAATGGACTCGCTGGCAATTTGGCAACGAGGCTAGGGCAAATGCAGCTAGTTAGGTCTAATGTGACGGCCGAGTTAACTATGCCTGCCTAGTCATGGATAGTTAGAAGTAACCGACCGCGAGAAACCAACCAACTCGCTTCCGCAAAAAAGTCCGACATCACGACTACAATAATCCATCTGTCTTGGGAATCTAGGATATCCATTTCATTATTGGTTAAGCGTGACGTCTTTGGGGCCAACCGCTCTGTTCTCATTCGACCGAAATATTTTATCCCTCCAACGTTTGTGGGGCTGGGATCAATCCACCTTGAGCCTCCCTCCCTCCCTCACCTTCGCAACTTCGGTTAGCCATGGTGGAATGCCGAGGGAGCAGAGCCGCTGAATGCCTGTGTCGATGCGCTGAACCATTTGTCTTTGAGCCTTTGCGTTCCGGAGATATGGTCGTTTGTTACTTCGAATATGCTCCATAATTGTGTTGCCGCGATGGGCCTTGTATGATACGCGGAAGAAGGGGTCCACTGTAGCCCTTCTTCACCTTGAAAGCATGTATATCCACTTCATGTGAGATACCCTCCACTGATGTCCCATCCATAGCGACCTATGTTTTCCTGAGTAGTATATTTTTGCGAGCCATGGACTGCCCCTGTCACCGTCCTGTCGCAAAATGGCCCTTTGCAATTTATATTTGGACGGGCCGCCAGTGGTGAACCAATCCTATCTGGCCAAATGATATGTTCCTGCATTCTTCGTGGGGTATGTGGCCGGAGGGTCGGTACTACTCCTATCTCAGAGGAAGTGTCCCTCGTCCGCTTGCATGGTAACGCCACTGGAAATTACCCATGTTCTCCTCCGAGAGGGTTTCTGCCTAGGGATCCTTCTTATAAACCAACATGGACACCCAGTGTCCTGCTCGGTTTTGTTCATTCCTTTCGCAACCCCTTTGTGCGTTGCTGTATAGCCTTTAGCAAACGTTTTTGTTTGCGTCCTCTCTTTAATCGTTGTTCTACGGCCACGTTCTTTTACGAAGGCTTTGCCGTCTTACGCTCCTTGGTTCCCTCAAGACCATATAATTAATTCATAAACGCCATCTATTGGACGAAATGGCGTTCAAATCCTTTTTGACGGCCGGAATGGCCGTGTCCTCTCTTTTGGCTTCGTCCACTTCCGCTTTTGACTTAAACTCCAAGACAAACCTTGCGGTGTACTATGTATGTTCTGGTTCTAGATTACGGTATTTTCAGTGATGTTGACATTTATTCCAGGGTCAAGGTCCCTACCAACAGCGCTTGGCGCATTTCTGTCAGCAAACTTCGATGGACATCATCCCGATAGGATTCGTCCATATCTTCCCGGAACAAGGCAAAGGTGGTTACCCAGGCTCGAATTTCGGGAACCAGTGCTCATCAGAGGTGTATTTGAACGAGGATGGTGTCCCAACGGAACTTCTTAAAGACTGCCGCCAGATTGCAGAGGACATTCCTATTTGCCAAGCTGCCGGAAAAAAGATCCTGCTTTCACTGGGTGGTGCGACCTCTAGGTATGAACTCAATACCCTGCGATCCGCTCTTGATTTTTCCGATTTCCTCTGGGGTGCTTTCGGTCCCAAGACGGCTGCATGGGGTAATAAACCTCGTCCGTTTGGCGATGTTGTTGTTGATGGGTTTGATTTCGACATAGAGCATAATGGCGATTATGGTAAGAGAGCCTTTCCCCCATATGTTGAACGGTTGTATCTGACCAGATAGGCTATGCTACAATGGTTGATCGGCTACGATATCGCTTCAAGGAGGACTCGAAAAGGAAATATTACATTTCCGCTGCACCGCAATGTCCCCCCGATGACAAACAGCTGGCAGTGCCAATTATGAAATCGTACTTCGATTTCATCTTTGTTCAGTTTTATAACACCTACTATTGCTCCGCGAGAAGCTGGGTCTCGAATCCTAGAACTTCTGCCTTCTCCTTCGATGACTGGGTGAAAGTCATTAAGCGCAGCCCCAACCCTTCTGCAAGAATCTATCTTGGCTTGTTAGCTAGCGTAACTGCTACTACTGCTAGTGACATATATTATCTCACACCGGAGGAGGTGAAGCCTCTTGCAAAAACATTTATGGATAAGTATCCGAAAAACTTTGGTGGCATAATGCTTTGGGAGGCAACACACTCTGAAAACAACCAAATCAATGGTAAGAGCTACGCGGATCACATGAAGAGGGTCTTATACGAGCTCTCTCCCCCTCCTCCAACAACATCGTCCACCAAAACCAGCACCTCGACTTCGTCTTACCCTGCCAGCTCCTCCGAAATCCCTTATCCTAGCACCACAGAGACCCCTTATCCTAGCACTACGGAGACCCCGTCTCCTACCGAGACCGGGACGGCTTATCCCAGCACCACGGAGACCACTTCTCCTCCTGAAACCGAGACGGTCTTCCCCACTGTCGATCCGACTGATACTGAGACCATTTACCCAACTGTCGACCCTACCGGCACTGAGACTGTGTATCCTACTGAAACTGTGTATCCTACCGAGACTGTCTATCCCACTGTCGACCCTACCGGCACTGAGACTCTGTATCCTACTGTTGATCCTACCAGCACTGAGACCATTTACCCAACTGTCGACCCTACCGGCACTGAGACTGTGTATCCTACTGAAACTGTGTATCCTACCGAGACTGTCTATCCTAGTGAGACTGTTTATCCTACCATTGATCCTACCGGCACTGAGACTTTGTATCCTACTGAGACTGTCTATCCCACTGTCGACCCTACCGGCACTGAAACTGTGTATCCTACTGAGACTCTCTATCCCACCGTTGACCCTACCGGCACTGAGACTGTCTATCCCACTGTCGACCCTACCGGCACTGGGACTCTCTATCCAACTGTCGACCCTACGGGCACTGAGACTGTCTATCCAACTGTCGACCCTACGGGCACTGAGACTGTCTATCCTACTGTCGACCCTACGGGCACTGAGACTATCGACCCTACTGTCCACCCGACTGACACTGAGAGTGACTGCCCTGAAACACCCTACCCGACTGAGACCGTGTATCCAACTCTCACCGAGACAGTCTCCCCTACCGCCTATCCCACTGACGTCTACCCTACTGATACAGAGACGGCCTACCCTTCCGACACTGAGTCTGTATATCCTACACACACCTCAATCACCATCTCAAAATACCCCTCAGATCCAGCACCTACGACAATCACCACAGTAATCACTACCACCTACACCACGGTTTGCCCGACGGGATATACCACAATCACAGCCACATACACTACAACGTACTGTCCAGGAACAGGGTGTGGCTCAACCTCGTCCAGTGTTGGGCCAACTGCACCACCGCCAGTTTCCCCCGGCTACCCTGCCGAAACCCCTCCGGCTGGCGGGTACCCTTCAACTTTCTCAACCGAACATTGTGGCGGAGACGGATGTCCGTCTCAGACTCCACCCGCTCCTTCAGGTCCAGCAGCCAGCTACCCAGGCGCCTCTGGATCAGGAGTCCACCCGACAAGCCCGTCACCGCCAGACTACATAGGAAGTGCTCCGGCAACATCCTTGAGCGGAAAGTGGCTCCTGACCTTAGCCGTTGGTGTCTGTGCTTTCTTCTTCAGCATGTAATTATTTGTCCTTCGGACTTTTACTTCGTTTCTCTTTTCTTAAGTGTTGGTTTGCATGTCAGAAAGCTCTGACTCTGCAACGAGCATTGAAGATAGTTTTACATTTATATACACCTTTTTTGGACATGATGATGAACTTTGTGTAATTTTTCTCACTAGATTCGCCTGACATAATTTAACTGAAACTTTTCCATTTGTGTTGATAGTACGCTGCAAACGTCTGGCTATTATCAAATTCCTTAAAGCTCACTCACTATCGTATCCCTTGCGAGTACAGTGATGCATCCACCTGGCTGACTCGACTACGGTGGCCCTAATTTTCATACGACCTTTATCCTGTAAAGAACAAGATAAAATCGCACACGAACTATACCACGAATTTTAGCGAAGGTGGCATGAGAAATCAAACATTTGAAATAAGTATCTTTGAAAATACTAGTGAGGTAATATACCATAGAAGAATAAAAAGACAAGTGGAGAGGGTATATATGAGCGGAGATGACAAGCTCAACGGGCATTCTCTTTTTTATCCCCTATCTACCTTTGCATCCTTTGCTCAACCTCCCACTTCTCAAAAATGGAATCTGAACACCAACAACATCCCTACTCTCTTCTTCAAGGATGAAAACAACCTTATCCACCCCCTGTCCACCGTACGTCAACAAGTCCGCCAGCTGCCATGAATCGCAGGTATCCACCAGCGCGCCTTGGGCAGGAAGATCTGACATCCTCTTGTTATCTTGGGGCACCGTACCGTACCCATAGCTCGCGCTGCTCTCCATCATTATTGTTATTCCATCATCTTGTTTTGCTTTATCCATTTGTGGCCTGCTTTCTTTCCCGTTCTGGCCTGGCTTCCTATGACTCTGTCACAGTTCTCAATATCAATATTTGTCATTTGTAGTAACTGCCTTGTGCAGGTAATGTACATTCACGTACATGTACATCCAATTTCTTGCATAATTGTAGAAGTAGGAACATTCTCCTCTAAGCACACCATCTCATTGTATAAGCTTAACCTTCTGTTGATCATTTCAAGGTGGGAAGTCGGCATATTACCAAAGAGAGGTGGGGAGAGAGATGACTGTTTTCTTTCCTACTGGAGCCCCTGCTCCTTGCGAATACCATCAAATCTTCCTTAAAAACCCAAGCGACGAAAGTTCTGTACATATCCGCAACTTACTGGCTGTTTCCAGACCTGATCTGTACATGTACATGCAAATAGTAGTTTCTAAGTTTCGAGACGCTTAGTGTTTCAACATACCCATCTCTTCAGGATCGATCTCCTTTCTTCCAGCTCATTGCAACAGGCACATTTGGTATGGCTAGGGGGGTTACCGCGTTGATCATGCGCGCACCACGGACAGCCTGTGGGAGACAGGCCTATTTGAGCTGGACTGGATTGCGCCATCCTATATTCTTTGCAGAGATGATCCCCGGCTAGCTGGCAAGATGGGTACTGAAAGAATAGCCTACAAGCTTTGTTAGCCGGGAGACCTTGGAGGGGTGAAAGGGAACTGAGGAAGGTAGCTGATAGACATGTGGCGGGTTCAGTCTCAGCCTGGTGATTGGGACGGGTTGTTGAGCTTGGAGGGGAACGATAGACGTTAAGAGTTGGGTTTTCCCCCTACATGCATGTTTATCAATCAGGCGGGAAAATTGGGAAAAGAAGTGAAAACTTTTCCTCTCTGGGAATATAGCATGTGGAAGGGCAGATAATTATTCAATCTTGTGAATCTTCTTTATTTCTTAATTAGGGATATCTAAATTATATGTTATAACATTGAGCCCCATGTAATAGAGGACAACAAACCTTCCCCAACCCTGTTTCCGTCCAGCCCAGTCAGGTTGTTCTAGCATTCCTTTTATTGGTAAAAAAAGTAAGAAAGAGCAGTTCGAGCTTATCAAGTAAGATCCAACACATACATCCACACATTCAATACTCTCTTCTCATTGAATACTATCTCTTCAATCCCAATGCCTCCTCAGCACCGGCCTGGCCGGATCCCAAGGCCCGGCCACCACATTCTTATATTTCTGTAAACTGATCAACCACCAACTACAACCTCCCATAACCAGAGCGGTCGAAAAACACCCAACAAACATGCCCAGTATTGCCGACATATACCCACCACGCAGCGTAATTCCCACTGCCGCACTGGCAATTACCACAAGTAAAACTGTGAGTATTACGTGACCCATCCAGGAGATCGCCCGCAGATGGCGACGAAAAACAGGAAATAGACCAAAGACTTCGATAGAGAATAGGGTCAGGCTGAACACGTGGGTGGTAGACTTCAGACGTGAGGCCAGCACCGTGGACGCCATGACGGCGGCATTTGTGGACAAGGAGGCCGGGAATTTTGCGGCCGTGGCACCACTCTCACTACTCGCTCCCGTGCCACTACCACCGCTGTTGCTACTGTAGTCGAAGAAGAAGATGTTGATTACCATGAGCCAGCAGCTCATGGCCCAGATGGAGTCGCTAGTTGTGGACTTTGTGAGGGATTTGAGGATCGGGCTGAGGCCGAGGAGGGCGCAGAAGATTAAGAGGGCAGATTTGGCTGTTTCGAGGCGTTGGCGGTTGCGCGGGGAGAGGGTAGCGGTATTATTGGTGGAGTGTAGAGACTGGTGGTATTGGTTTGAGGAATGGTAAGAGGGGAAATGAGCGGAACCGTTGCTTGGCGCTGAGGGCGATGTCGGGGAATTTGGAGAGTGGGATGAGTTCCCCGAATAAACGGAGCAGGCTGACGCGCTATTTGAGCGATTGCTAAGAGTGCTCAGGCCTGTACTGCGGCGTCGCAGCTGCCGGTAATCGAGGTTAGTTGTAGAGAGTTGTAAGCCAAGGCCGGGGACTTGGTTCTCCTTCTGGTTCCTCTCACAGTGACCAGCTTTGGCAGAGTTGGTAGATGAACCAGATACAGATGCAGCATCACCTCCCGCTACATCTCCCATTAATGACAGTCGAGCTTCTTCTTCTTGTTCCTTCCCAACCCAAAAATCCCATAGCACCCAGCCTAAAATTGTACATATACTTCCCCATCCCACCACCGAGACGGGACTAATTCGCTCCTGGAAAATGCCGCTGAAGCAACAGGCGAATATGACGACAGAGCAGACATGCTGCACAATGACAGTTGAATCCGCGACCAACGGCCAGAAATCATAGGGCCGGAGACGGGGATTGCGCTGGAGATGGTCAAGAAATGTTTCAGTATCCGTATAATTATCCGGATCTAGAACACAAGAACAAAGCATGATGAAAAATATTAGCTTCCGACAACTGACAGTATCACAACGAGCACGATGGTAGAGAGAAACGTACACGACTGTTTAACCCACAATAACTTCTTCCACGCGCCCTTCGACCTCCTCCGACTCGATCCCAGTCTTCTCCTCGCTTCCTTCACCCGTCGCGGTTCAGCCACTGGTACCGCGGGAGGAGGCCTTAATGCTGCAACTGCCGCAGGCAGACGGAGATTTGCAGCGTGATTATTCGCGACATGAGGACGGAATCGTGGAGGAGAGTGTGCGTAGTAAGCATCTTCAGGCGCGAGCCGGTTTGGGTCTGTCAGAACGCGTCTGGGCGGGGGGGGTTTGAGGCCAGCACGATTTGGATGTGTTTCGACAGGGACTGGAGGAGGGATTGGAGCTGGAGAAGGCGCAGGCGCAGGCGCAGGTCGTGATGTTGCAGTTGTTCCTGACTCTGGTGCTGCTCCCGCTACCTCTCCTGATGGTGGTTCAGTAGATATGGCTGCTGTCACAGGTGGAGAAGGGGGAGAGGGTGAGGGAGCGGAAGGAAGGGGGCCTTGGGTAGCCATGTGAGAGCAATTTTGATCATTGTAAGGCCATTGTATACTGGCGCATGTAGCGCGAGATGGAATCGGAGCTTTCTGCTGTTAGAGAAGAGCTAGATTTTTCTGCGCTGTCGCTATTCTTATCTTTGCATATGGAACTTGAGGTTGCGGATAGAAGATAGAAGAGAACGGCCGAAAACCGAGATTAGTCATATATTACCAAGCAGCAATCTATCACGTGGTGATAAGCATGGCCCCGGCGCTGGGAGGACAAAAAATGTAAAAAGGTAAAATGTCATTGCGAACAACTGAGAGACATTCCTCTAATTAACAGGGCGCATGCAGCTCATGTCCAAAAAGCGCCCATGCATCTACTGAGATAGGTATATGTTTATGCATGTTCCACAAATAAACGAAAGAAAAGGAGAACCAAAGAAAGCGTTAGGACAATGTAGAACACCAAAAATTGCAAGGTATAATAATGCGCGATCCGGCAACATAACATAAGTGTCTAGTAAAGCAGTGTAGCACTGGAAGAGCTTGCCACTCCAGGAGAGGGATCGTGGAGGTGAACACGGCAAGCCGTTGAGCGGTAACACCAAAGGTAGAGGAAGCGCGCGCGAACATGCTGTAATACAAAACCATCAATGATAAGCGGACGCATGGTAATACATTGTGCGACGGAGGTTGTGGTAGCTGGCTTTACGACACCCCAAACTCCCGGTCTTCATTAGTAGCACACCGACGCAAATTCTCCCTGCAGCCAGCATATCGAGAAACAACCGCGTCCTCCAGGCTTTTTCTGCGTCCCCAGGTCTCGGGCTTCCTTTTGAGGAAAGCACCAACAGCACCAAGGTATCCTTCATGGCGCAAGAAATATGCCTCTTTCTCTCCGTTCGACCAAAATCTAATGGCGTAGGAGAGCGTGTTCATTGTTTGGCGGTGGCCACGGATAAAGGATCCGCCAAAGTAGATGTGTTTTATTTTGTGTTTTTCGGATTGAAGGTAAGCGATTTGGCCGATGTTGTTACTAAACGTGGGGTAAAATTCCGAATTAATAAAAGCTTTCCCTAGAGGGCTAGTAAAAAAAAGAATAGAAAGAAAAATGAAAAAAAAAAAAAAAAAAAAAAAGAAAACAAATAGAAAGCTCCGATGTCAGATGAAGGATATGCATACCTTATGGCGTACAACAAGCTTCGACTCATATCCTCATGGCTGAACTGCGAGGCGTCTGTATCCGAATCGCTTTCAGGATGTGACGGGCCCTCTCCAGCCTCAGCATGCCGCTCGGCCAGCCTCTTCATCTTAAACACCTTTCCAAAAGTGCTAGCAATAGTTGTAGCCTTCAATCCAATCTTGCTATAATCCGTGCCATAGATATCTCCGACGAGCAGGTCTACGCCACTGTTGTCGCCTCTGTCAGCCATGGCCAGCATGTCGTCGAAAGTCCGCGATCCAGTGAGCAAAGACATTATGCCCCAAAACGTGCCGCCACCCAGAGAAGTTCCTCCCACACGCTGGAACTGCCGTGGTCCTGAGACTTTCACCATTGACACTCCAGAGCCGATATTCACAAGTAAGTACGGGTAGACATCCGGTCGAGGTTCTACGAACTCTGTTGGAAGGGTCTCGCTGTAGGCGAACACTTCGTTCGGGATCTCGGTAATGAACCAGTCCAGCCCTAACGAAATCACATTTGTTACATTATCATCCTACAATGAATAGATCGTGCATACGTAGCGGATAGCAGAAGGAAAGATCAAAAGCCCATACCAATAATCAAACACTCCATCTCATCTTCCCGAAGCACATTAATCCCCAAGGATTCTTTAATATGGTCGTAGTACTTGAAAGCACCACCGCCAGTGGCCATGACGCAGAGCTCACCGGGGGAAGTGGCATAGTTTCTCTCGTGGCGTTCTTTCAGCTCCCTTATGAACTCAATACATAGATCGATCCGCTCGGTCTCGAAGTTAATAAAATTCAAGCGTCCTCCGTTGTCTGGTGATCCGATCTCTTTAGAGAAATAGACCAGTTTCGCCAAGGACCCTCCGATCTGCAAAGGAAGCGAGTTAGCTCACGGATACGAAGACCTAGATAGATAGCAACTTGGATTGGTATTTTGTGTAGGGATTTTTGTTCAATTTCATTTTTTGAAAAACTGGGTAATTAATAAAGTGCGGGAGAGGGGAGGGGAAAAAAAAAATAAAAAATAAAAAATAACATACATCGACGGCAACATGACTCACGACGGCCGTATGGTGAGGCAAACGAATATCTTTGCGTTCATAGTGAACACCATCCTTTGGCGTGCCATTAGGCGGAGACGGGGATTCGTCTTCCTCTTCGACAATGAAAGCACCCTTGACGTTTATCTTCACGGAACCCGGGTTTGTCATTGCCTCCTCAATGCGTCCAGCGAAGCCGCGATCTTCGGAGTGCGACTTGCGATGCCTGAGGCGGGCGGCAGCAGTGGCCTCGGTGAGAGATCTTCTGGCACTACGCATGGCGGCGCAAAGTCAGGCGTGGGAGTGTTTGGTCGCATTTGATGGTCATTATAATAAAGAATTTCAACAAGCCTGGGAGGGGGGTTTTTTGAGTGTTGAGGTTTTTTTTGCGGTCGCCGTGCCCACGCTTACCGCGTATATCTCCTTCTGGCCGGGAGTTCAATGGATGGCGCCGAGGAAATGGGGGTCGAGGGCGGACGGGCGCCGAGGATGACGTCGAAAAACCGGGGCAATCGGTGATACAAGACAAGGAAGAATGGCATCGCGCGATATAAAAATCGAATTGAGGAGAATGTTGGATATTCTTGGGTGGTGATGGCTGTCAACCGCTGCCGATGTTTCTCCAGCATGCATTTCTCAGCCCAGACGAACCCCCGATTGGCGGCTGGGCACAAGCCAAGCGGAAACAGACCAACAGCGCCTTAAATATAAAATTGATATTAATAAGATATTATTTAACTAGCATTCTAAGCATTCGCTTTTATTATTACCGATTTTATTCTCTAAATATAACTATATATACCGCGCGTGTTGATCGTGCGTCTACTCCGTACAGCTAAGGATAATGTTGGTCTGGACTCAACCAAGGGGAGGCGACATAGAACGGTTCGATCCACAAAATATCTTTCTTCTGTCTGCGTCTGCTGTTTCCGGGAATATCAAATGCTGATGATATTCGCCTATTCTCTGGTTTGCTCTTACTCTTCTTTTTTCCAAACTGCAAAACATCCTCTCCGTCGTGGCTGCTGTCTGGACATCCATGGCAGTGACGCGCGATCATGGCTGCACAAGAAAGACCGCTCGAGGGTGTTGATAATGAATATTTTGCAACCTTGGGTGAGAGAATTGTTAGTAAATGAAATCAGACGTGATCATACATATTCGTATACAGTACATCACAGTGAATCTTGTGCTATCGATTCTGGTATACCACAGTTGCGGTTGCTGCCATCTGTCTTGTTCATCATTTTACAATCACAGGGGCATTTATTCCCCCCCAAAAACAAGACATTATCTGCCGTAGATGCCTTCCAGGACATCGCAGTTTATCCATGGGAACTGCATGTCTCGATCTCGATCTCGATATTTAGTCTGAACGCGGTTTCTGGTTGCTTCGCTATCTTTACCGAATCACTCTCCAGTCCTTTGGTTATTATTCTTCAAACCATTACCATCAGCCTATCCGAGTCATCGACTCACCTCCCTCGAAGATGAAGCTTCTATTACTCCTGTATCTCGTCTGCTTGGTTCACGCAAACATCATCTTCGAGCATTCCCCTCTTAAGTGTGACCCGATTTTGCCAGCATTTCAGGGATGTTTTCGTGGCCAGCACTGTTCGCGGCGTGGAATGTGAGTTGGATGTTTCTTGATCTCTGGACTTTTGACTCGTTAGCGCAGCTGCTAATTTTCACTATTGTAGATGTGAGGACGATGATCCGCATGCCTCGGATGGTTCTCAAGTGTCAACAACTCAACCATCATATTTTGCAACAGATAGAGCCGAACCTGCCACTTCGTCACCCATATTCGATCAGGTGGTATCACAGGAGGGTGGAGATGATACTTGCGATCTACAGAGTGGCGATGGCGACGCCGACGGGAATCGAATCGCGAAGGGCACATATACTCCAGGCGATTCTCAGTATGTCTGCTTTCCTCTAAGCCCTAATTAGGGAACTCTTCCTGTGAGGCCACATGTCGGAAGATAGCGTGTTCGAGTCCCAGGTTATAACATGACCACTACTACTCCATAAAGTGGCATGAAAAATAGGAATATAACAAGGAATATATCATAGGCAGGCTCTCACATAGTTTTGTGTCCAAATAAACTGACAATTAGATTGTAGGAACTTGGAACATCCAAGTGAACATGTCATGGCTAGCGCACATAGCCTTCTCTCCACTAGGACCCCCCAAGGCCCCAAGCCTGCATCAAAGTTATTAACTCGAAAGACATATGATACCAAACTGAGACAAAGGCAGGAACAAGAAAAGCCAGAAGAAGGGTCTAAGGAAACCATTGACGGTCTTTGCGGCCCTGACAACGGTAATACCATTTGCGGTGAGTGGCCGGCAGGACCGTGTTGCTCCGCGTACGGTGTAAGTATTCTCATTTTCGTCGACAGTTTATGATCGAAATTCAGGCTGACACTCTGTTTAAGTTTTGTGGGAACACCTCATCTCATTGTGGCCCTGGCTGTCAGTCAGGGGCATGTGAGACAGAAAACCTTTTCGAGCTTCTGAGTCCCAGTACCTATCAGCCAGACACGGTTCACGGAACGTTTAAAGTTGTTGGCCAATCCGGGGTTCCCGCAATGTCTGCCGCTCTTCTGGCCAATGGTCGGGTTGTATTCGTAGACAAGGTCGAAAACTATACCCAGCTAGTCCTAGACAACGGTCACTATGCGTATTCGTCTGAATATGATCCGCTGACGAACGAGGTAGTGCCATTGGGCTATAAGGTGAGATTAGGTGCTGCCTCTGTTATCCACTGGTAGGACTAACATCATAATAATAGACAAATGCGTTTTGCTCAGGTGGAGTATTTCTAGAAGATGGGCGCCTGATCAACCTTGGTGGAAATGCTCCGTTGGCAATGGACCCTACAGTTGGCGATGGATTCCGAGGAATTCGATACCTAACACGACCTTTAGAGGATGGAGGTTGGGACGGAACGCCATGGGATGAACCGGGTAACGAGCTTTCATCGAACAGATGGTATGCAAGTGCTCAAATTCTTCGCGATGGAACAGTGTTCGTTGCTTCTGGTAGCCTTAATGGGCTCAATCCTTCCGTGATAGCGAACAACAACCCGACATACGAGTTTCTCGATAAAAATGGAATTTCTCATGGCCAGAGCGTCTTATTTCCAATTCTCGAAGAAAACCAACCTTACTACATGTACCCATTCCTACATCTTTTGAAGGACGGCACCGTTTTCGTGTTTGTTGCACGGTCAGCTGAAGTTTTCGATGCCTTTGGTCAGGAGACGGTTAAAAAACTGCCAGACCTGCCTGGTGATTACCGTAGTTATCCAAATACTGGAGGGAGTGTCCTTCTGCCTCTGAGCGCCGCAAATGGATGGGATGATGACATAATAGTATGTGGTGGAGGAGCATTCGTGGGGATAGCCAGTCCAACGGATCCGACATGTGGACGAATTAAGCCATTGGCGGAGGATCCTCAGTGGGAGCTTGAGCTGATGCCCGAAGGTAGAGTTATGATAGAAGGTATGATACTTCCTGACGGAAAGATACTTTGGCTCAATGGTTGCAACCGTGGTGCACAAGGATTTGGGATCGCAAGAGACCCGTCCTTTGACGCATGGATCTATGACCCCGACGCTGCCGTGGGCCGCCGGTGGAGTGTCGGGGGCCAGTCAGAAATCGCACGAATGTACCACTCTGTCGCGCTCGTTTTGTTAGACGGTACGGTTATGGTTGCGGGATCAAACCCTGTGGAACAACCGGTCCTGGTACCCAATCCCGACATTGAGGAACTAGCATTCGTCACCGAGTTCAGGGTAGAGATATATACACCTCACTATCTCTTGGACGGAAAAGACAAATTTCGGCCATACGATGTTGAGTTACCTAACAAACGTTTCCCTGCGGATAGTAGGCGATTCATGGTGAACTTCAAAGTCAATGGAGAACCCGAAGACCTGCGCGTGGTGCTCTACCATGGTGGGTTCGTTACCCACTCGCTACATATGGGCCATCGGATGCTATACCTGGATCATGAGGGCTACCATCCTAATCGCATAAGGCAAAGAATTTTGGTTACTATGCCGCCGGATAACAATATTGCGCCGCCTGGGCCATATGTGGTTTATATTGTGGCGGATGGGGTGCCGAGCGTTGGACAGTTTGTGATGGTTGAATGCAGCGTTAATTAGGGAATTAAGTTAGAGGGGAAATGGAAGATGGTGATTCCCTTCTTCTATTATTTTCGTTGCTTCTCACTTCCATTTGCGTTTCACTCGCCTTCTTTTTTTTCCTTCATCTTCAATCTTCAAGGGTATGGGTTTGCTTGAACGTTATGGTTTCTTCTGTATCTTTCTCTTGGCGAATATTATGCGGGTAAGGAACACTCCAGCAGTCTTTTAGTTTACTAGAGATACCCAAATAGTCTACGACAAAAGTCATCGATTTTCTATTACCCCCTCCCTCAATGGCGGTGGTAAGTCATCCGGAGTTCATGAATGTATTTTATACTTCCTAGTTGGAAGGTTTTCTCCTTCCGTACTATGCAAGTTCAGAGCAATCGGAAAATGGATGATCCGCTTTTCGGCAAATTCTCTTACTTCCACGACTCGGACTTGTTTAAATATGCATCCATACTCTGAACCATGTTTGGGAAGCCAGTTGCTTTCTCAATTTTCTTCTTTGAGTATTCTACCCATTGAATGTTTACTATTTATCTTTTCTTTCTACGGGATTCTGCATTTGTGAATATGACGGGAGCATGCTGTATTTGAAGGATATTTTTCTTATCCTCATTTTTCTGTTAGCACCTGAGGGAAATCCAATGCAGCCTCTTGCTACAAGCAGTGTAGCATCAGACTGCGTGCACAGATATGTAATAACATACAATACGGAGCCTTTGGGAGCAAGACAGGAGAGACATATCTCATCCTTTGAAAAGCGCATTTTCAGCTTTATTTTTGTGGTGCCTTTGTATAGATATGTATTAAGAAGTTTCTGGCATGAGGGGAGTGGTATGGTGGTATGGCAACGATATGTCAGGGAGACGACTTATGCATATTTAAAGCCTTTTCAATTTTTTTTTTTTTTTTTTTTTTTTTTTTTTTCTGTAACAACAGCAACAGAAGAACTAAAAGAAATAAACACACACAACACACACAACACACACAATCATAACAAAATAGCGTGTTGTGTTTTTCTCTCTTCACTCTGTTGCCCCTTCGCCAGCCCTCATCTACTCCCTTTCACTGCTTTATATCCAAGTTCCTCCCTCTGCATACTTCGAAGGGGAAGAACCTGCTCATCCCACTTTCAAATTTCTCAATTGGGCACATTTGTGTCGTATTCTACTGTTGTTGCCCTTCAGGCCATCATCAGTAGATTAATCTCCACAGCTCAGCTCGACGTTGTCATCTTGAAGTCTAGTAAGTGTGTGTTCCTGTTTTACTAGCTTTTAAGTTAATGTATGACCATCCATCCCATGTTCTATTATCCCGCACTCCTTTCAGCTCTTTTCATGGACCAAGGATAGACATGGTCTGCATTAATTGTGTCTTTTAAAGCTGTCCTCGATCTTCGCGTTGGTTTTGGAATCTTGCTTTTATTTTCGTGTTCGGCGGGATATGTTTCGTCTCTAAGTCGCAAGGCGCCCTAGAGCAAAAGCCGCTGGGTGCGAGGTCTGTCTATTTACCGAATTTACTATCCTCGCAAGGCCTACTGGGTTGAAGTTTGGTGCAGTTCCAGTGTCTGGCGTTTTGCACCGCTTTTTGTTTATTCTGGGTTGTTGTGGTTGTTTTTTTGCATTGTTGTGGGCGTCGTTTCATCCCCATTTCACCCCCTATTTTCCTTACTGTTGAAGATACCACCGCTAGACAGTCGATCATTAAACTGACTATTCCTCTAGACCCTATAGTCCGACTCCCCTCCATACTATTGAGACCAGAAACACTTCCAAAAATGTCTGTTACCGGGAAAGAAAACGAAAGGTTTGGCGTGCAGAAGATGGCAGAGGCCATCGACGAGGTTGCAGATTCTGCAAACTTGAAAGAGGATGCTGCGGCCCTGGCACGCCAAAGGGGCTGGGTAGAGCCTCAGAGCTACGACTATGAGACCTATAATGCTGCTCCTAAACCTGGTGAGGACGCTGGTTTAACCGACCTCCCTGAATGGGCTTCCAACGCTGCGAAGTACGAGTGGAAGGAGGAGTATGGTGACGTGGGCCCTCGCAATGAGGAGCTCGAGAAAATGTTATTCCGTAACGAGTACCTGAATCGTGCAGGGAATAAGTTCGATCGGTAGGTAGTCTCAAAATTTTGGGGGGAATCCGAAGGCTATGGTACTGGGATACATAACGTTCGCGACATTCTAACAGCCACTAGCCTCCGTGAAGTTAAGGTGACGGCTGAGACAACACATCAGCCTGATCCTGTCAAGAGCGTAAGTTGCTTTCTGTCTTCCTTGCTGCTTGGTATACTGAGACTGCGTGTAGTTTGATGATGCTGGATTGCACCCCGTTATGCGTGAGAACATCAAGCTGTGTGGCTACAATGTTCCCACCCCAATTCAAGCGTACGCCATCCCGGCCGTTTTGGCTGGAAATGATCTTATAGCTGTGGCTCAAACCGGTAAGTGACCAATTTCCTTGTTGAACCCGAAAACACATTCCACTGACCCAGTAAAAGGTTCCGGGAAAACTGCCGCCTTTCTGATCCCTGTGTTGTCCAAATTAATGGGGAAAGCAAAGAAGCTCGCCGCTCGTCGTCCTGACCTGGGCAATGGGTTTAACGAATCTTTGGATTGTGTTCGCGCGGAGCCTCTAGTCCTTATCGTTGCCCCAACCCGTGAACTTTCGACTCAAATCTTTGACGAGGCTCGTCGTCTATGCTACCGTTCTATGTTGCGGCCCTGTGTTGTGTATGGTGGCGGGCCATCCCGCGAGCAGCGCCTCGAGCTCCAAAAGGGTTGTGACGTCCTCATCGGGACACCAGGGCGTCTTCTTGACTTCATGGAGAAGCCGCACATACTTTCCCTGCACCGTGTCAAATTCACTATTATCGACGAAGCGGATGAAATGCTTCACTCCGACTGGGAAATCGAGTTAAACAAGTTGATGTCTGGCGGAGGTACAGTACATATACAGAAATCATGCACGGGTAAATTGAAATGTATGAACCTGCTGACAATACGCACAGATACCAATGAAGACGCGGACCATCGCTACATGATGTTTTCCGCAACTTTCAACAAAGGGTGCCGTGAACTAGCCCGCAAATACCTTGCAGCAGACCATGTACGCATCCGCATCGGGCGTGCTGGCAGTGCCCACCTAAACGTCAGCCAGAAGATCTACTACACGGATGACGATAAGAAGAAGGAGGCCATCTACGACCTTCTTCTTTCTATGCCCCCCTCGCGTACCCTTGTTTTCGTCAATTCAAAGGCACAAGCCGACCTTCTCGATGATTACCTGTACAACATGGGCCTCCCCAGTACATCTATTCATTCGGACCGTACTCAGCGTGAGCGTGAAGATGCTTTGTAAGTTGTTCATAATCACGGAAATTTTGGAGGATTAACCAATACCAATTGAGAAACTATGTAGGCGTGCATTCAAAACAGCGAAGTCTCCCATCATGGTTGCAACTGGCGTTTCTGCGCGTGGTCTTGATATCAAAAACGTCATGCATGTTATCAATTTCGACATGCCTAGCGCCGCCCACGGAGGAATCGAGGAGTATATCCATCGGATTGGTATGAGGAACCCATCAACTTAAAAAAAAAGGCAAAAAATGGTCTCTAATTTCTTTCGTTCTAACTAACGTACAATTTGAATGTTCCCAGGACGCACTGCCCGTATCGGAAACGAAGGGCTGGCTTCGTCTTTCTACAACCACGAACGAAACAGCGACATTGCCGCAGACTTGGTTAAGATCCTGTTGGAGTGCAAGCAGCCCGTGCCTGACTTCCTCGAGTCCGAGAAACCAGAGGGAGACGACGTTCTGTTTAACGACGATACAGATGACGAAGACGACAATAATGACGGAGGAGAAGGTTCTAGGGGTGCTACTCAGGATGATGGATGGGGTGCGCCAACCGATTCTATTGCTGAGCCGGAAGCCGCGTCGGCCTAGAACCCCGGAAATGATGATAGTTGGTGGATGTGGCTCTGTTCTTGAGAGACTAGTATTCGCATTGAGCATAGGTGAAAAAGCGTTAAGGTATCTCCATGAAGTTGGTGTCTTTCATTCACATATTAGCTTGAGTCATACCACTCATTACAGCTACGATCGCGCTATCCCAAACGCCAACAAAATAGCGTACTTTATTCTTTATTTCAATGCCCTGTCAAATGAGCTTAGGAAAGAAGGGAATTTAAAAAAAAAAGAAAAAAACTTCTCAGATTCTGCTTTGTTGTTTTAAAATCCACAATTCTTCTATTAAGTTTATTTCATGCATTTCTCATTTCTCTCATTTAATAAAAAATTAAAATTTTCTTAATAAATTCAGTATGTTATAAAATTAATAAATAATTATATATTTCTCTATTACTTTTTATTTTATTTCTCTCTATATTTTAATTATTATTATTGTAAATTAACAAAAAATAAAAGAAAAAAAATTTAAAATTTTTTAAAATATTACAAGTTAAAAAGTGTATTTTATAATTTTTACTTATTTTTATAATTTATATAAATTTTAATATAAATTTTAAATTATTTTATTTAATATTAATTTATAATATATTAGATTCTCTCTATAGACTGACTACTTCTATCTAGATAAAATATTCACTGATTACTTAATAAATATCTATTATATATAAAAAGCTGTATAATAGATAGATCTTGATAATATAATTAACTACTATATTATATTATCTTTATCAGATTATATCTCTTTTACATATAAGAATTTACTTTAATTTGCTATTATAAGAGATCTATACTGAATGAATCAGTATTATATTAATAGGTCTTATATAATAAAGATAAAAATGTTAGAGAAGAAAAGAAAGAGAAAGTATGAGAATCAGTAACTAAGATGAATATTTATATATATATATAATAATATACACAGTAAAGCTTCAGAGTGAAAGAATATACATATATTTATAACAGCTGAGAATCAGTAATTGAGAATGACTGAGAATTAGAGTATATGTATTTAAGAGTGAAATGAAAGAATCTATAAAGTGTAATGAAATAGTCTATATAATTAATCAGACATAGTCTGCTATATTAGCTTCTCTCTTTCAGAAGTAGTTCTCATTAATCAAGAGCTGCTATTTCAGATAATATAAAACTCAGAGTTCAGATCAGTTAATTATAGTTAACTTATTTTATAAAATATTATCAGCTGCAGTTACAGAGTCTCTTATTATAAATATTCTCAATCTCTCACTCAAGTTTATTATCTTCTTCTATAATATCTAATGACTGTCAGTCAGAAGTCAGCTGAGAAGAGAATAAATCAGTGATAGTACAGTAAAACAAGCTTATATAAAATATATTATAAATTTCTGATAATATGTTAAGATAGTAGTTATAACTATTTAAAACTTCTATCACTTTATATCTGATATAGTAGTAATCTAGTATATAAGATAAATATATAATTTATATATTCTTAAGAT